GCCCAAACTAAACCAAGATGATTTAAAACAACTTAACACACATATCAAGCATCAAAATAGAAGCAGCAATAAAGACCTCCCACCCAAGAAAAGTCCAGAAAGCAAAAATTCACTACCACACTCTTTTTATGAAGCCAGCATAACCCTCATCCCAAAACCAGGCAGGGACTCATCAAAGAAAGAGAACTATAGACCTATTTCTTTGATAAATATCAACGCAAAACTTCTCAACAAAATCTTGTCCAGTCGACTTCAACAACTCATCAAAAGAATCATACACCACGATCAAACAGGATTCATTTCAGCGATGCAAAGCCGGTTCAATATATGCAAATCAATTAATATAATTCATCACATCAACAAGAACAAGGATAAGAACCACATGGTTATCTCAGTAGATGCAGAAAAAGCATTTGACAAGATCCAACACCCCTTTATGATGAAGGCTCTGGAAAAACTAGGAATCCATGGAACATTCCTCATTATAATAAAGGCTATATATGACAAACCTATAGCCAGCATTATACTTAATGGTGAAAAGTTAAAGCCATTTCCTCTAAATTCAGGAACAAGACAAGTGTGTCCACTCTCCCCACTCCTCTTCAATCTAGTATTAGAATGCCTAGCTACAGCAATAAGACAAGATGCAGGCATAAAGGGGATGCAAATAGGGAAGGATGAAGTAAAACTCTCCCTCTTTGCAGATGACATGATCTTGTATTTAAAGAACCCCATGGATTTCACTCCCAAGTTACTTGATCTGATCAGAAACTTTGGCAAAGTAGCAGAGTACAAAATTAACCCTCAGAAATCAATGGCTTTCCTGTATGCCAATAATGAGAAGAGCATGACTGAAATTAGGAAAGCAACCCCTTTTGTAATAGCCCCACAAAAACATAAAATACTTAGGAGTTACCTTAACAAAAGTGGTGAAAGACCTCTATGATGAAAACTTTAAAAACCTGAAAAAGGAAATTAGAGAACTAAGCAAGTAGAAAAACCTCCTATGCTCCTGGATTGGGAGGATTAACATCGTGAAAATGGCAATACTGCCAAAGGCTATCTAAAATTCAATGCGATACCCATCAACATTCCAACCTCATTCTTCAAGGAAATAGAAGAAGCAATCCAAAAATTTATATGGAACAATAAAAGACCCCAAATAGCAAAAACAATCCTTAGTAGAAAGGACAGCGCTGGAGGAATATCAATTCCAAACTTCAAAGTCTACTACAAAGCCATAGTAATCAAAACAGCTTGGTACTGGCATAAGAACAGACATGAGGACCAATGGAATAGGACTGAAGACCCAGAAATGAACCCACAGACATATAGGTACCTAATCTTTGACAAGAGAGCCAAAGAAATAGAATGGAAGGAAGACAGCCTTTTCAGTAAATGGTGCTGACAAAATTGGTTAAACATTTGTAGAAAACTAAAACTAGATCCGTATATATTACCCTGCACCAGAATAAACTCCAAATGGATCAAAGACCTCGAAATAAAAGCAGACTCCATGAAAACATTACAGGAAGGAATAGGAGAAACTCCAGGACTTCTTGGCACAGGCCAAAATTTTCTTAATATAGAAACCCAGAAGCACAACAAATCAAAGAAAGGTTGGACAAATGGGACTGAATGAAACTGCAGAGCTTCTGCAAGGCAAAGGATATAGCTAACAAGATCAACAGAAAGCCCACGGATTGGGAGAAGATCTTCACTAGCCATACAACAGACAAGGGTCTCATATCTAAAATATACTTAGAACTCAAAAAACTCAATCCCCTAACAACAAATCCTCAAAGAAACAACTGCTCCATTAACAAGTTGGCTAAAGACTTAAAGAGAGACTTCTCTGAAGAAGAAATAAGAATGGCCAATAGACATATAAAGAAATGCTCAACCTCTCTAGCCATAAAAGAAATGCAAATGAAGACAACGCTGAGATTCCACCTCACCCCAGCTAGACTGGCTATAATCAAGAAATCTAGTAACAACAGATCCTGGAGGGGATGTGGTCAAAAGGGAACCCTACTGCATTGTTGGTGGGAGTGTAAACTTGTTCAACCACTTTGGAAAGCAGTATAGAGTTCCTCAAAAGACTCCACATAGAGCTCCCTTATGACCCAGCAATCCCACTATTGGGCATTTACCCAAAGGATCACAAACAAGGTCATACCAAAGCTACCAGCCCAACCATGTTTATTGCAGCATTATTTACAATAGCTAAGATATGGAACTAACCCAGATGCCCCTCAGTAGATGAATGGATCAAGAAAATGTGTATATAGACACAATGGAAATTCTATGCCTCCATCAGAAAGAATGACATTGCCTCTTCTGTTAGGAAAAAATCATATTAAGTAAAGTAAGCCAGGCCCAAAGAAACATAGGTCCCATGATTTCTCTTGTTTGTAGTGACTAGTACATGTCTAGGACAAGCAGAGTAGGTCAAAGGCTATATACATACAACCATAGGAGATAATGTTAAGCAAAATATACCCCAAGACAGGGACACAAGAGGTTTTTTTTTTCTTTCTTGCTATTATTTTCAATGTACTTACAATACACTATGTGGTTTTTTTTGTCTCTATTGTATGTTCTTTCCCCCCATGGTATAACCCCTGTTTTTACTGGATTTGATGCTGGTGCTCTGCACCTTGTATATACATTTTTGTAATTTGGGGAGGGGAAGGGATATTGCAGAACGCTTAAATGAGGATTCAGGCTGACCCATTGTGACGAAGAGATGTACAGGACACTATATTGAAAACAAACTTTACAATGTTCGGGATGGGTACAGGAGGAGTTGGGGAGGTGGAGAGGGAAGTCCAAGAAAAGCTACAATTGCCACTTGGAAACTAGGAAATGGCCTAACTAGACCCACAGAAGAGAACCCAGAGCTGCTAATGGAAGACCTGGTTCTAAATCAAAGAACCAGACAACAGCAAACACAAAACCACCAGAGGTGAATAGTGGGGGAAGAGAAAACAAAAGACATTCCATAGAGGAAGAGCTTGCAAATTGAAAGTTTGAAAGCACACAATGAAAAACTAATACAACTTTGGTGGGGTAGGGGGTGGGGAGGGAGAGATGGGAAGGGATGGGAAGGGGAAACAAAGGGGGAAGCAACAATGCTTGATAAGAAATGTATTCATTATCTTGTCCATGTAATTGTAACCCCTCTGTACAGTATTGATAACTATGAATCAAAAATAAGTATGTATGAAAAAATGAACAAAATATGTTTACAATAAAATATACAGTCATGGAACCTAGAAAAAGCTGAGGAGGCCAGACCTAGTGAAAAAGAGAATTAGTGTATCAAAAAATCATACTGAGGAATTCACTGAGAATATAACCCAATAAGATATGTAGCCAAAGAAAATGAAGGGAAAATTGAAATGCCTTAGCATATGTCAAATAGAAGTTTCAGTGGAAGTATAAAACACTAGGAATGGTATGTTGATGATGTATTTGGTAGATTTTCATTGCAGTGACAAAAATAACTTGACATCGCAATGTAAGAGAGAAAGATTTGCTTAGCTCACAGTTTCAGAAGATTGAGTCTGTGATTGCTTTTCCTTTTAACACTTTGGGCAGAACACCACAGTGATAGTAATGGAAGCCTGTGACAGACAACCTTCTTCACCTCATGGCAACAGGAAACAGGGGTGGTACAGGAAGAGGCCAGGGTAAGATACAGGCCTCAAGTACATACCCTCAATGATTTGCTTCCTCCAATGAGGCCTGCCTCTTATCTTTCACCTTTTTTCCAATAAGGCCTCATAATATGGATCTATCAAGGGATTAATGCACTCACAGATCAGAGCCCTCATGATCTAATGGTAGGTTTATAGGTCCATTCTAGCTACCACAACTGAAGGAAACCATACAGCCTATGTTTCTCTGAGTCTGGCTTCCTTCACTTACTATAATTTTTCTCCAATTCTCTCCATTTCCTTATGAATGGTACAATACTCTTTCTTACAGATGAGTAGAATTCCATTGTATATATATTCCATATTTTCTTGATCCATTTATCCATGGTTTTTAATGACTTAAAAAAGACTACGCAGAAGAAGTAAGGATGCCAAAAGACATGGAACATCTCTGGCCATAAAGAAAAGGCAAATCAAAACAACATTGAGATTCTCACCCCAGTTAAAATGGCCAGTATCAAGAAAACTAACACTAACCAACTCTGGTGTGGATGTGGCCAAAAGAGAACTCTATTGCCCTCTTGGTGGGAATATAAACTTGTTCAACTACTCTGGAAAGCAATATGGAGGTTCCTCAAGAGATTAAACATAGAGCTTCCCTATTACCCAACAATTCCACTTCTGGACATTTATCTAATAGAGCACAAACAAGGCCACACTAAAGCTATTAGAACAACATTTAACAGCCTGTTTTCTTTCACTTGATATGCTGCCATCCCATTCCCACATTATTATTTATTTCTATAATTGTTATTGTAAATGGCTTTGTAATATTAGGAGCTATTAAGGTCAAAATTTACAATTTTATAGAAAGATAAGCCAGTATTACATATGTATAAACTTCCAAAATTCTAATAGATTCCAATAATTCTATAATTATTACTTAATAACCTGTGATTTTATTTATTCCAAGTACAATGTTTTAACACTAATAGTTGCTATTATATGAGCTTTACTGTCACCACTTTGCTGAGGCATTTTATAATCACCTTGGAAACCTCCATCCAAAAAATATTAAAATGTTAAATATTTTAAAATATTAAAAAAAAGAAATCTCAACAGTAGAGAAACAAGTGGTAGTGAGGCAAAAGGGGAATTTATTTCAGTAGGATAAACACTGAGAAAGACAGGAAGACTAATATCAGATCCCAATCCTTGAAGTGTGACTACAACTCTACTCTTATGTAGACTCAGAAGATAAAAGACTGCTATCCTTTGCTCAAAAAAAAAGAAAAAATACCAATGTTCATCAAATGGTTTGTCTTTTGTTCTCTACAGAACATTAGAACTGACATTGTAATGGATGCTTCTTTCAGTATAAATCCTGCTGTGGACATAGGACAGGTATGTGCACACCTTATTCCATCACTAAATATTTCATTCAACTAATCACAGAATACGTATTCTAGATATGATTTAAAAGAAGCAACTCTTTCTTCTGTTTCCTGGATATCATTAAGTAGTTTGTTCTATTAACTAAGATTATTTTTCTGTCCTTTACATGTATAATGCTATGGAAGGAGAATCCCTGAATTCTATTTATTCATTCAACAAACATCTATGAATTACACAGATGCCCCTGCCAAATGCACTTAATCAAGTGGAGCCTGCAATCTGTATTTTCAGTAAATTGTTCAGGCATGTGTGGTATTACACACATCAATTGCTGATTCCTGAGATTCATTTAGTCCATTTATAGTCAGACAAAAAGTTTAGAAGAAGCAGAAACTACACAATGAGAGAACAAATGAAGAAGAGGAGCATATGTCCAGAAACACTTAGAACGTAAAATCAGAAATTGACCAAGATTGGCAGAAAGAGTCAGTAGGTGAAGAAATTTTAAAAAGAATAGATCCCAAGTTTCCAATATGGGGATCTAGATATGGAAAATGCAAATTAATACTTCAGAGAGAGGAATATGAACTCAACTTGACTTTGTTGACTTCAAGTTGCCTATAAAAGATCCAGGTAGAAAACTAGGGGCCAATGGTTCATTCCTGTAATCCTAGCTACTCACAAGGCTGAGATCTGGGGCTCACAGTTTAAAGCCGGTCCAGGCAGGAGGGTCTGTGAGACTCTTACCTCCACTAAACTACCAAAATAAAAAGCCTGAAGTGGAGCTGTGGCTCAAGTGGTAGAGTGCTAGCCTTGAGTACAGGAACTCACGGACAGTTCCAGACCTTGGCAGCCCCAGGACCAGCACCAAAAAAAAAAAAAAAAAGTTTAGGTAGAAACAGCTAAAACATTGGATGTACAGGTCTAAACCTTGAGACCTGAGCTAAAGATGAATATTTTAGGCTGATCTACATAAAAGTGGTTGTTGAAATTACCTAAGAATCAGGATCATGGCAATGAAGGAAGGAGCAATGGAGAGAGAGGATGAAAGAGAAATATGCATTCATTAATGAACCTAAATATTTTAGCATATCGCAAATGTGAACAAATAAAAAGTTAGAAAGTTCTTGCCCATGTAATTGTAACTCCTCTGTACGGTATTCTCACAATAAAAATTGTTTTTAAAAAGTTAGAAAGTTTCTTTCAGCATAACATTTATAGTTCCTACTAGTGATTTTTCTTGAATCTAATTTTTGTGGGTCTAAATTCTATTTAAATAGCTCTTGAATTTAGAATACAATCAGATTAGATTGAAGTTTGTTAGAAGTTAGTCCTTGAAATGAGAAAAGAGAGGAATGGTACTGGGATGTGAGCCCAATGCTAAAGACATTCTCTATTGAGAAAGAACTGATCCAAGACCTTGAAGGCCTCCTTAGAAGGGATATTCTGGTACCTGGAAGAGTGGCTAACATTTTATCCTTTCACTGGTTAGATGACTTTGTGGTGAAAAGACCTTGTTCCAGAGACTGAACAAGTCCCCACAAAAGAGACTGGGGCATCTGTTTCTAAAATCATTATTATGTAAATGGCTCAGCAAAACATTGAAAATAAACAATATTTGTTTTTACAAGCAAGTCTAAACATTTCTACAAAACCTAGTCAGGGATTTTACAAGTCATTAGTTGTATCTGGAAGTTAAAAATGGAGTGCTGGACTCCAAAGGGAATCAGTCACTTAAAAGAATGACATGTCTAATCAACTCCAAATGGATCAAAGACCTCAAGGTAAAAGCAGACTCTCTGAAAACATTACACGAAGGAATAGGAGAAACTCTAGGGCTCCTTGGCACAGGCCAAAATTTTCTTAATAAAGATCCAGAAACACAACAAATAAAAGAAAGGTTGGACAAATGGGATTGCATGAAATTGCAGGGCTTCCGCATGGCAAAGGACATAGCTGAAAACCCATGGATTGGAAAAAGATCTTCACTAGCTACACAACAGACAAGAGCCTCATATCTAACATATACTTAGACTCAAAAAGTTAAATTCCCCAAAAACAAAGTCTCAAAGAAACAACCGCCCCATTAAAAAGTGAGCTAAAGACTTAAAGAGAAATTTCTCTGAAGAGGAAATAAGAATGGCCAATAGACACATGAAGATATGCTCAACTTCTCTGGCCATAAAATAAATGCAAATCAAAACAACATTGAGATCCCACCTCACCCCAGTTAGAATGGCTATAATCAAGAACTCTAAAACAACAGATGCTGGAGGGGATGTGGCCAAAAGGGAATGCTACTATACTGTTGGTGGTAGTGTAAACTTGTTCAACCACTCTAGAAAGCAGTATGGAGGTTCCTCAAAAGACTACACATAGAGCTCCCCTACGACCCTGTAATCCTACTTCTGAGCATTTACCCAAATGACCACAAAAGCTACCAGCACAACTATGGTTTTTTTTGGTTTTGTTTTTTTTTGGTCGGCCATGGGGCTTGAACTCTGGGCCTGGGCGCTGTCCCTCAGCTCTTCAGCTCAAGGCGAGCGCTCTACCACTTCAGCTACAGCGCCACTTCCGGTTTTCTGGTGGTTTATTGGAGATAGGAGTCTCACGGTCTCTCCTGCCCGAGTTGGCTTTGAACCGCGATCCTCAGATCTCAGCCTCCTGAGTAGCTAGGATTACAGGCGTGAGCCACCAGCGCCCAGCTCAGCACAACTATGTTTATCATAGCAATATTTATCATAGCTAACCCAACTCAGATGCCCCTCAGTAGATGAGTAGATACACACACACACACACACACACACACACACACACACACACACACACAATGGAATTCTCAGCTTCCATCAGAAAAAGTGACACCCCCTCATTTGTAAGGAAATGGAAGGACTTGGGAAAAATCATACTAAGTGAAGTAAGCCAGACCCAAAGAAATATAGGTTCCATGGTTTCCCTTATTTGTGATAATTAGTATATGTCTAAGATAATCTTAGCAGATGAACAGAATAGCTCAATATCTATGTACATATGACCATAGAAGATAATGATAAATGAAATGAACTCCAAGACATGGACACAATACGTTTTTCTTTGTTGTTGTTCTCCATGTACTTGATTCTTTTGTCTGTTCTTCCCCCTATGGTTAATTCCCTGTTGCCATTGTATTTGATTTTGGTACCCTGAGTATTGTTTATATGTTTATCTGAATTAGGGAAGGGAAGGGGAACAACAAAATGGTAAGACACAGGATAAAAGGGGAACCAATGCAACAGTGATATTCCCAAGAAAATATGTTGAAAATGATCTGTACAACTTGGAGGGATTGGGGGGAAGGAAAGGGAGAAAATGAAGGAGGAGTAACAAGTTAGACAAGAAATGTACTCACTACCTTATGTAACTGTAACTGCTCTGTACATCACCTTGACAATAAAATTAAAATGTAAAAGAATCACATGTCTTTGACATGTTGAACTGAAACCCTTTTGTAAAATTACATAATGATAATAAAATTAATAAAAATTATGTCTTTGGGTGATACTTGGAAGGTCTTAAGGTAGCATGAAAGAGTAAGATTATTTCTTTCTATGTTGTAGATTGAAGGGGCCTTTGTTCAAGGTCTTGGACTTTATACCCTAGAGGAGTTGAAATATTCTCCAGAAGGAGTCCTCTATACCCGTGGTCCAAAACAGTACAAGATCCCTTCAGTTACTGACATCCCAGAGGAGTTCCATGTGTCCCTGCTGACAACAACCCAAAACCCAAAAGCAATCTACTCCTCCAAGGTAAGCATCTCTGATCTACAGATCTGACAGTCTGAATTTAGGGATTTTTCTTCTAACAGGTGAGTGGATGGTGGATGGATGGATGGATGGATGGATGGATGGATGGATGGATGGATGGATGGATGGATGGATGAATGGATGGATGGGTGGATGGATGGATGGATGGATGGACCAATCTATATATCCATCAGGACAAAAACAATCACACTGAGGAATTCACTGAAAATAAAGCCCAAAGATATAGAAATAAGAGAACGTACATGGAAAGGCTATATTCAATGACGCCAAGGTCTGAAGGGTGAAGAGGTGTTCATGATCCTCTTATTCTATGCTTCTCACCATAATGGGCTCTGCTACACCCAGTTCTTCAGTGATATGAATACACACAAAACTTCTTTCTCCCTAAGCTGGCCTGGAACTGCTGTCCTCCCACCTTTAGCCTCTTTTGTAGCTAGAGTTACAGTGAGCATTTCTGTGTCCTACTGTTAATTGAAAAGGCATCTTGCAAACTTTTTGCCCAGGCTTGTCTTGAACTATGATCTTTCCAATCTAAGACTCAAAAGCAGCCAGAACTTAATTTCTCAAACATCTGTATGTATATCAACAACATATACATGTGTATATTGGGAAAACAAGACCGATAGATCTGACAGAAGAGTATAACCAACAAAACACTGCTTTGGAGAAACACTGTTTGACAGTGTCTATATCTTTATCTAAGTCAGATGTAATCCCAGTATAATTTGTCTAATAAACAAAATGAAAGACATATAGCCTCCTTATTCAAGTGTCAGGAATCACAACCTCAGAATCCCTCTAATTCAACCGCTGGGCCTCCAGCTTGCTGAGGGCAGTGGGTTGGTGAGGGGGAGCCTCCAGCCACAGAGGAGAACCAGCTGCTAGTGAAGACAGGCCCGGAGGACCTTGCTGGACCAGTGTAGGTGGGGCAGAGAGTCTTTGATGATCTCCAAGTCAATGAAGCTTCCCTGGATCAAAAATCACACCACCACCTTTCTTCTCATTTCCAGCATTAGTCACCGTTTGAGAGATTTCTTAGGCAGACTATGAATTAAGGTGTGATTGATCTGTTAAGGAATAGATTTACCAGAAGTCAAACATTAGGAATAAAGTTAGATAATCACAATTAAATGTGATTAAAAGAAGTGGTTCTTAACATGGTTTCTAGCACCTTGCACTATCTACCCTACCAACTTTTCGCAAAACTCTTTGTGCCATTATTTCTTTACAACCTTCTTCACCTACCTGGCTGGGGCCAGCTTTTCCTTCCTTGACTACTTTGAATACATCCCTTGCATCTGACAAGGTTCTTCAGAGAAACAGCTTTTGGCATATATCTGTATACATGTGTATATGTATATGGACATGCATCATATGTGTGCTTAAATCAAATGTAATGCCTATCTGCATGTATATGTGTATATGTTATATATATGTATATGTATGTATACATAGAATGTGGAAGCTATATATTTTAAAGAACTGGCTCCCACAATTATAGGGGTAACAAGTTCAAAGTCTCTAAGGCAGGTCTACAGGCTGCACACTTGAGTACCATTTCTATGTTGAAGACTTGAGGTAGAATAATTCCTCCTCAAGGAAACTCTTAAGGACTTCAACTGATTGAAGAAGAGTCACTCGCATCATTAAGGGTTATCTTTTCTTAAAGCCAGTGTTAATCACTATGACATAACTTTCACATAAACACCTTTATGGGTGTTTGGTGAAGCAACTAGGTGCCATAGCACTCACTATGCTGCTGCACAAATATCACCATCATGCTACTTCTACCTGGGACCTCCCCTTCCTTCCTTCCCTCACCTGACTGATGCTATCTCACCTGCAAGATGTCACTATAAATGTCACTTCCTCAGGAAGCCAGTCCAGTCCCCACAACTATGCAAGTGCCCACTGGTGTCCTATCTTGTAGCAATTTTCTTGCCTCCATGTGTGTGCTTATTTCCTTGTGCATCTGAACTCTATGTGAGCAAGACCAGGCAGGCTCTGATTGCCACATCAGGGCTGTTCTAACCCATAGATCACCTTTAGGCACATCAGAGAAAGACTTCTGGTCTCCAGGTGGAAGCACCCCTCACAGACCAGGCCCTGCAGGCATGACATAGCTGGATGTCACTCTCCCTCTTGAAAGAGGAGTCAGGTATCTGCCTATATAACCAGGCAGAATTCTGACAGTTACTTAGATTGTACCTTCCATGCAGAATAGAATGCATGAACTGCCCCTTCCATCCAGTGTTTCAGGGCCTAGGTGCTGGGGTGCTCGGGTTTTCCTCAAAAGACATCTAACCTAGAGACCCTCAGTGGCATGAATGACACCAGAATCTCCTGGAAGAGGCACATGGATCTCGAAAAGGCTCTGACTCATTATTCTATTCTCAGGTTGTAGCTTGGTAAAGCTTTTGGACTCATTGTTTTAATTCAGAGAAATTTGGATAAGCTCTTGGCATAGGTCTACCTAGGAGTGTCAGCTACTGGGGAGATGTTTCACCACTTTCCTCATCCTTTAATTCCCCAGTTGGCACTGGAGGTAACATCTGTAACTGTGGCTAGTTTCATCAGCCACACCCACATGGTCTTCTTAGGTAGAAGCATGCCAAGCCTCAGCCAAGAATCTTGCCATCTGATTAGCATTGCCAGCTTTGGGGATTATTACCTGGGCCTGCCCTCCTCTGGAACAGATCACCCTTGGGACCCAGCCAGTACCCCAAAACAAATAGAGAATAAGTGCTCTAGCAGAGCTCAACGCTGTCCTTGAGCTAGTCCTGAGAGATAATTACAAAGATCATCACCTTGAGAACAGAATGAGCCTCTGTAGGCAAGGAGTTGGAAGAAACGAGAGGTTGCCAGCCTCAGTTGACCCATATGCAGTCAGTGGTGGAATTATGTAACATTCACTGAACCCCTATGTGAATCAGTCATTGGGCCACCCAAGGAAACAGAGAGCTGCCCACTAGATGTTGTGGGAATGGAAGGGAATAGAACCCCTCTGGGTATTCTTTAGCTCAGGTCAGTGATCAGTATGTCCACTCCTCCCTACACCCATGGGATGACTATTCTAGGTTGGGTTTCTAAAAAGTCTCTCTTTCTCCTTCACCTCCAGGGCCTAGGCGAGTCTGGAATGTTTCTGGGGTCTTCAGTGTTTTTTGCCATAGCTGATGCTGTGGCTGCAGCTCGCAAGGAGAGGGGCCTGGCCCCACTTTTGACCATGAACAGTCCAGCCACACCAGAGCAGATTCGGATGGCCTGTGTGGATCAGTTTACAGAGCTGGTATGAGACTCCTCCGTCTTGTCTGTGAATCTCATTAACCACTTCAGTGGTTCTCAGTGCATGTGGGGCTGGGGCACATACATCAATTCAAAAGAAAATTCACAGACCCAGCAAGCATGATTTCTCCATTCAGAAATGATACTTACTGTGAGTTTTCAAATGGGAATCTAAAGGATTTTTGTTGTTGTTGTTGTTGGTTGTGGGGCCTGAACTCTGGGCCTGGGCGCTGTCCCTCAGCTCTTTAGCTCAAGGCTAGCACTCTACCACTGTAGCCACAGCACCACTTCTGGCTTTTTTCTTTTTATGTGGTGCTGAGGAATCGAACCTAGGGCTTCATGCATGCAAGGCAAGCACTCTACCACTCAGCCATCTTTCCAGCCCTACATTTTTATATTTAATATAGGAAACACAGATGTTAAAAGGGCTAAGAAATATGGTGGTACACACTGTATTCTTAATGCTTAGAAAGTTCAAGGTTGGCCTTGACTGGGCTGACAGGTCTTATAGCAAGACTCTGCCTCAAACCAAAACAATGGTCTTTTCCATCTAGGTCCTGGAATGGCTGCAGTGGACTGATGTGCAGGACTTGAATTTAGATGATTGGACTCAAATCACAGCTCAGCCATTTACTAGCTATAAGTGGGACTTTGGGCAAACTTTGAACCACTATTTTTTTATCCTTAATGTGGAGAACATATCTGCCTACTTATATTAAATGAGTATTAAATAAGCTTAGTTCTAAAAGTGCTTAATGTAGCGTTGGCATATATTAACCTTTGAATCAATGTTAGTGATGGCCATTGTAATTACAATTATTATTAGAGCACACCCAGGTCCTGGGTATCCAGCCATATGTTTTCTGATTTTTTTAACCTGTTGCACTATAATGGAAAACTGAGCCATGCGAGAGGCACAGTGCAGGAGGAGATACATGTCTGGGGTTTAGCAAGGATACTACATCCCTGAACCATTATCCTAATGAGTCAGCTGAAACTTCCCTGACAAACGACTAAATAATATATTCTAAAATGCATATGAAAAGACTATTACTCTTCTATACTAACGATAGTATGTGGCAGTCAATAGTTATAACTTTTTGTTGTTATTGTAATTTTGTGCCAGGCCTGGGGCTTGAACTAAGTCCCGGGCATTGACCCTGAGCTGCTTTTGCTCAAGGCTAGTGTTCTACCACATGAACCTCAGTTCTACTTCTGTCCCTTTTTTGTTGGTGGTTAATTGTAGATAGAAGTCTCACAGATTTTTCTTTGAACCAGTCCTCAGATCTCAGCCTCCTGAGTAGTTTGAATTTCAGGCATGAGCCACCAGTGAATACCCAAAAACAAATTTTTATGGTATACCTAAAAATTGTGGCTAGGTACTTAAGAAATGGCCAAAAAAATGGAAAAGGATCTCACTCATGGAGTTTTTTGTAGTTAAATGACATAGGATCTTTACATGAAATTGGTATGAGAACTGTTAACAGCCCAAAAGCAGCCCTTGACAAGAAGGCAAGTATCCAGCTAATAGGAGAGTTCTAGAAAAGCAGACATAAAGGAAAAGGAATTCCTACTGGAGGAAAAAGCTAAATCAAAAGCATTGGTGAGAAAGGGCAGAACGACATCAGTTATGTCTCAGAACAGATCATTTGGTTTGGCTAGAGGACAGAATTTGAAAGGCAACACGTGGTGATTAAACTGGAAAAATAGCCAAGCCATGTTGCCTGTCATCCAATTGGCTAGAACAAGCAGAGTCAAAGATAAGTACAATTTGTACTCAGGGTGATAGGGGAGGATGTGGGTACTCAAGAGCAACAGAGGATCTAGTTTCAAAGGGAACATGGTGAATTTGATTTGTGATCTATAGCGTGGTAGTTAGTTAAGGGATTTATCCGACAGGCAGCTAATGCAGGATTGGCAATGAATTTGCTTTGTGATCTATAGCATGGTAGTTAGTTAAGGGATTTATCCGACAGGCAGCTAATGCAGGATTGGCAAGAGAATTAGGTTGCAGACAGATTTATGAGTCATTGGTATAAAGCAGTAATTAGAGCCTGTGAAATGGGATAAACCTCACCAGAGGGTGAACTCATACAGAAGGAAGAAAGCACGAAATGTAAAGAGGAGGGAAAGGAAAAGAGAAGAATGGTGGAAAAAAAGGCAAGAATGAGGCAGGAGATGGGAAGACAGACGTGGGATGACAGAGCAAAGAAGACAGCAAACTCTCAACACCTTGCCACCTGTTCACTGGGCCTGAAGCACCTTCAGACAGGACCGACCATCTGCATGGGAAAGAGGTTACAAGTACAGATTAGGATGTAAAAGGTGTGATCATCCCCCACCCACACCCACACATACCTAAACGACAAATTCCACTCACCTGAAGACCACTGCAGCATAACACAACCCTGCCATGGAGGAAGGCACCCCAAACTCCTGTGGTTGAGTGGAGACAGGAGGCCATCCCTTCTGGCTCCCACTGCCTCTTGCTCCCTTTCACAACCACACTATGACAAGAACAGGAGGTGAAAACCTTTGTGGAGCATGGGTGCTGTGGCCATGGTGACATCCGGTGATCTTGAAGATGAAATATGCCCCAACTCAAACTGTTTGCCTGCCTGGGAGGTCATTGTCAAGACTGATGAATCTTCACTAACTCAGCCCTAGGCAGAAGCAACTGACCATTCGGATCCAAGTCTTCCAGTGCCCCAACCTCATTCCATCCAACAAATTTGAACCTGCAGGAATGTCATGTGCCCAGTGCTGAACCAATATTAGTTATTGCTCTGTGCCATCGGCAGGATCCATTCCATGAGGAGACTGGAAGGTTCTTCTTTCTCAGATAAGACAATGTCAAACCATCCCCTCACACCACTCTCACCCCAGAGGGAGCTTTGGGGAGATGCCCAGCTGAGGAGAGCTACCTGGTCCTCTTCTCCATGAGGCCCACACAGCCCCTCTTAGCCCTGCATGTGGTGACCCTCTTTTGCCAGCTTATAACATCAGGGACTTCCTGGGACTCAAGTGGCCAGCAAGGGTGATGCACCTCACAGCCCTGAAGATGCAGGAGGAAAAGGCAACTGCAAGGACAAAGCTCTAGCAGCAACCTCACTTGTCCTGGGCATCTTGCTACAGCAGAAGAGAATATATGCAAACCATGTTCATTCCAGCTAGGCCCAGTGGTTCTTGGAAAGCAAGAGATGGAACGTTTTAAAGAATTCCTCTGAAAAGAAAAGCACACTAAATATGGTTTCAAGTAACTTGATACTTTGTCACCCACAAGTTTCAAAACAGTTATTAATGTCTTAATGTAGGAAGTGGAGCGGTGGCTCAAGACACAGAGCACCAACTTTCAGCAAAAAAGCCAGATGAGAGTGCAAAGCCCTGAGTTCAAGTCCCAGTATCCTAGCAGTGCTTATACATGTGAACATCTTAATGCAAGTACAAATGAATGGATGGACATTCTACTTTCAAGAAATGAATGTCTTCCTCTAGTGCATGCTCTGTGCAGGTAAAAGAGTGTCACTGAAACAGAGACCATTTCCCAAGAAGAAGAATGAAACGCTGCTGTTATCCTTGAAACTAAACAGAGGCAAAAATGTACCTGTGTTCATTTGAGGACCAGCTACCTAACTTTCCTGAGTACCGATGACCAGGAATTCATTCTTGAAAGGGTTGTCCTCCTTTATAGAGTATTGGTTTGCTAGGCGCTAAATAGAAGTGGACAGGACCCAGAGAATGAGTTGAGAGAACCTGGAGGGTAAATGGTTTGCTATGAGGAAGATCCACCAGTGGACTGGACTGGTTAATCGCCTATATGGTGAGAAATATTTTTCTAGCCCTAGAAGCTGAATAAGTCCTATAGTCGATATGTGCAGTTTCTACCATGAAATATTAGCATTCAGATTATTTTCACCTTCTTTTTATGGCATCAGAAAACAAATTTGGAAAAGTGAAATCAAATCATAGCTCTTGGAATGCACGAAGAGCATATAGGTGGGACAGCAAAATTCTGGTCTTGGTGTGTCTACAATTTTCTACACATTTCACAAGAAAGGAAAACTGCTTGTGTTTCTCAATACAAAATGCAAGAGAAGGAGTATTTCACAAGCTGAAACTTTGCAAATGTATTATACCTTCTTTAATTGAATGACTCCCTCCCCCACCCGTGTAAATCAAGGTTACAACATGATAAAGGTCTATGCATGAAGGCTTCTTTATTATGCTCAATTTAGGAAAGATTTAAAGAAAGAAACTATCTTTCCAATTCATTATGCTATGAAGATGTCAACTGGTGCTTTCTGTTTTATCAGAAAAAAAACTGAAAAGATTTGAAAAATTCTATTTTGTGCAATAAATATAAATTTTCTTTTTAGATAAATTTAGGTAAATGTATAAATTTTATAAACCCTACTGAACATCAGTGAATTCCTTACTCATCATAACTTTTTTCTTATTTAGGCAAAAAATTACTTCTATTTTATTTTTGAATTAAAGTATTTTGTAGCATTGGGGACTTCATTGTGGCCTTTCTGTATTATACACACAGTTTGCTAGATGAAAGACTGAAGGAAAATTTGATTGCCTAAATAGAAATTCTATGTTACTAGGTATGTTTAGCTTTTCCCTCACTTATTACGTATTTAATCATTTCTCAGTTTCCATATCCAAGTAAGTGCTTATTTTTTAATTCCATACCTTCTGAGTTTTTAGGAACTAAAAGTTAAATTAAATTTATTTAAAGCTACAGTGATATTGTAGTCATTTAACTTTTGTTATTTTTCCTTAGCAAAAACCTCAGACAAATAAAAACTTCAATCTTAAATTAAAAAACAAACACTGAAAACATACTGAATTCAATGGGCTAGGTCTTCATTTTATATACAATTATTAAAAAGTCTACCAAATTATAATCAGATGCATAAATATTAAGCACCTGAAGAGTATTCTCTGCTCTTTATATCTTGTTTCAATTTTAATAAAATTCCAATCCCTATGTAAACTCAAAATTTTATATTATTATATTTATATTAGATAATGTAATAATTTAGATTAAGTATTTACTTTAAATATATTGCTGCTGATTATATGGGTAATTTTATTTTTTCTGTTTTTCAAGCATATTCCCTAATTTTTTGAATTTTTCTTTTAGGTTCCACAAATTGATTCTGAAGGCTGTAAACCTTGGTCCATCCCTGTTGCCTAATGTTTTGTTTTCAAGAACAAACATTAACTTTCTGACAGATTTAAAGACTCAGCAGGTCACTAGTGTAAGCATCTTTATCTAAAAGATATGATTTCTTTATATAAGAAATTTGAGAGTTTTACGTAAGAAATTCTTTATAAAAGAAGGGAGCAAGTCTTACATCTTCCTATTTCATATTTACAAACTATCTTGTAATCTTCAATTATACATATATAAGCAAGATGTTGCTGAAACTTCAACAAAAATATGGTGTTTGATTTGGTGTAATCAGCATAGTATTTTTCAATTGTGAACCATTCTTCTATCTGATTCAGATAAGATAAAAGCCTAGACTACAATGATCTTGTTCTGAGAGGAAAAAAAAAGAAATCAGGTTGATTGCTGGCAGCTTGTGAAGTATCTTATTTAAGATAATGTTCTGCATTAAATACTGGTATATCATAAGTGATCATTCATAGCGCCTGTAAAGTCGGTATTCACTTGCTTATTTCAATGCACAACTTTGCTGACAATTCATTATAATGTGTTAAGGCTCTCCTTTATCAAAGAATTATTGATTTACTCAATGAGTTGCTGAATAACGGAGGGTCACCTCCTAACATGATTTGTATGAAGGCAAATGAAACTGGAAAGATAATTCCATAAAACACTAAAAATATTTGCCACCGTAACATCAACAAAGCAGTGTTCAGCCTCTTTCTACTTGTTGAATTTTCCCCTATCTCTGTGTTCAAAATGAAGATTAGTTGTATTTGGTTGCACAAAATAAACCTGTGAGTGAGGCCAAATAAATAGTCAATAAATATGCCGTTAGGTTAAGTTCAAAATGCATGAACACTCAATATTTTCAGTATTCAAAGCACATTCAAATGCTGTCCAGTTGGAAGTATTCTAATGCTAATTTCCAATGGGGAAAAAGTACACAACAACAGACAGAGACTTCTTTTTGTCTAATTTTTATATATGCAGAATTTTCAGTGGCCATGATTTTCATCAAGATGATTTTGTACACAGCATCACCATAAATCCACTCAACCCAGTAAATCCTTTTAAGGTATCTATTCATTTCTTATCTTTACCATCTATGCTTCCATTTCCAATGCATAAGCAGTTTGTCTGAGGGTCAAATGAAAAGAATGAAGGATGGTATACTAACTACCCAGGAATAGGAAATTAGGGAGGCAATTTATATACCATGGAGGTTCTTGTGAGTTTTGGCAGGAACTGCAACCATAAGACTAACACAATGTTCGTTTTTTTTTTTTGTTTTTTGTTTGTTTTTTTTTTTGGGTCCGGTTGTGGGGCCTGAACTCTGGGCCTAGGCACTGTCCCTCAGCTCTTTCAGCTCAAGGCTAGCGCTCTACCACTTGAGTCACAGCCCCACTTCCGGCTTTTTTCTTTTTGCTTATGTGGTGCTGAGGAATCGAACCGAGGGCCTTGAGCATGCAAGGCAAGTGCTCTACCACTGAGCCACCTTCCCAGCCCACAATGTTCGTTTTTTATACCAAAGCTACATATGTGCATAAGAGGTATAATGACCACTGTATGGCCGTCCACTGGCAATGCTACCTGGAAGGCCCAAAGGACCAATTTCACAGATGCTTATCTTAGCCCTCTCAAAACCACAAAGGTGTGATTTTTTTTTTATACTGGAGCAGTCATGTGCAGTCGCTGAACTATTTATAGGAGGAAAGCCCTAATTTTATACCTTCGAGTAGCCCCAACCCAACAACTTGGGGCAGTTGGTCCTTATTTGAATTTTCTGATCTTGAGGTGTAGTTGAATTTTACTGGTAAACCATTCCTTGCTATCTTCTTATTCTGTAGTTCTTGTGTTGCATCTGAAGCAGCAACTTAGATTTTGCACCCCCCCCCCCCCCCACCAAAAAAAAGAACCAAGAAGGACCCTACTCAATGTTCAGGCTCTAAGTGGCCAGACTCATGCATGAACAAATCTTTGTTCCTACTCATCTGTGTTCTAAGCTGCACCAAAAGAAGCAGTCTGGAAAATAAAACAAAATGGTATTATTGTATTTTTCTGTCTCTCTGTTTCTTAAAGAATATTAACTGAAATCTGATTTGTAACTCATCACAGCATTTTTGAGGACTACTAAAATTTTCCTCAAAGAGGGAGATGGGGAGAATGTAATCATACTATTCAATGTATATCCTATGAAACTAAGAAAATTGAGGGTAGGGGTTGGCTTGGGAGAGATGGGGAGAATGATGATACCAATCAAGATGTATTGTACTTATAAGAATGATTTGTTGGATGGTAACTCCTTTGTATAATTAAAGAAAATAAAAATGGTTTCCTCTAAATTTCTCAAACCTTATGACTTCTGTTTCTCCAAAGTCCATCAAACTTTGGCCCGGGTCCAGCTTATCTGCCAGTATTTCCTTGTCTTTGCCTTCTTTGTGTTGCTTCCCTATATCACTCAGCTTGCCTTCAGCAAAAGAAAGCACAAGATCAATCTGAGAGGAAGAAATCCCTCTCTGTGGAAGAATAGATATAGAGAAAGGAAGACAGAACACGTTTCCTCAGTCTACCCAGTCACAACTGCAATAACTGCAGACCAAAAAAAAAACATGTTAAGCAACATTTTGGTGCACTGACAAGAAACCGTATACTGCTAGAAAGTCCCTTGGCTGAGATCAGCTCATGCGAGGAGCTGTGAAGAGGCTGTACCACAGGAGAACAGAAGTGCTAGAATGTTCTGCACTGCTGCTCAGGCTGAAACACCCACAGAGACCTGTGGGGAGAGGATTTTGCTTCAAATAAAGAGAACAAGTCTGAACTTTATTCCCTAGCCATCCATGTGGAGGATCATTTCCATTCTTCGGTTAAATAGTTGCATGGCAGCAAGAACCCAAGAGAAGTCTCCATCCGTTCAGAGCAGAACTAGAATTGAGAAACACTCAAATCAAATATAGATTGTATGGTCTCTACAAATGTTATGGGAATATTTGAAGGAGGCATTATCCTTTAATTCTGTTTCAGGAAATCTTATTTCTACCTGCATATTCTATTTGTCTCGTGTGGACAAATTAGTGTTTAAACAACAGATGTTCTCTTGTGGAAGTCCCCAGAAGACAAGGCTACTGGGCTCTCAGCCTTTGTTTCCAGAGAGGATGAGCTTCCCTAGCAGGACAATGGAAAGTCCAGAGCTTCACAATTTTTGTGGACAAAAGAGATCTAACCCTACCGATAACACAAGAGCTCAGTAAATATCTAACTCCAAGGTGTAATTGCAGGTTTCACATGCTAGCAGTGGCCAGGTCACCCTTATGATTACAAGCTTGGGCACAGAGCCCTAAGGCTCTGGCAGGGTCGCCATGCTATTCAATCTTCCAGAACAGCCGGTGATCTCTACATACACATTTCTGTTCACCAGGGAGGCATTGCCACTCCACCTGCCTGAAAAGAAATGCATCAAAATAGGCAGGATTCAGACTTGTCAACACACCACAAAGGGTCACACTGGGTCTGCCCACCAGCTACGTTTTCATCAGTGGCAAAACCAAGCCTGCTCAGCCAGTGCCAAGAGGCATTCAGGGTCACACACTCCAATTTTAGAAAACGTGATGGATGAAAGCTGGGCGATGAATTGCTCTGACATTTTTAAAGCTGTAGTAGTTTCTATTTCATGTGCCAGGGAAACTGTATTACTCTGTTAGGGTAGACTATTCTAGCACTCCAGGGAAGCCAAAAATCAGTCACTGTCTCACCAAGTGGCTAAATAAACAAGTCAAGTGAAATTATAAATAGGAACTTCATAGGGCTCACACTCAGATTGGTAAAATCTGTAACTATCTTTCCAGTATTTCTGCTCTCTCTCCTTTGCAAAAGGGAAGATTTCTTTTTTCCTCAAAGTTTATTAAGAGTAGCTGAACTAGCATGGGGAAGCATTTTACCTGGCACGTGCTTGAATGAAGAGCAAAAATTAGCTATTACACAAATTTAAACACTCACATACATACTTAACTTGTACCCCAAACTCCACTCTCAAACTGCATTCCACTAGGTTCGAAAAACCCAGCCCTACTCAACTAAGATGCAACCCAGCAGTATGAAAACCCTATCACGGACTCCAGGCACGGGACATTCTCTGGAGGCATCAGGAAAATGTCTACAAGGTCACCTGTCTTTGTTTTCTAGAATTTCTTCCATGATTTCTAAGCCTGTTTTGAAACAGCCCTGCTAGCTAGGCCCTGGTGGCTTAAACCAATAAATCCTAAATACTCAGGAGGTTGACGTCCGAGGAGAATGATTCAAAGTCAGCCCAAGCAAAAAGTATAGGAGATTCTATCTTCAATTCATCAGCAAAAGCCAGAAGTGAAGGTGTAATTCAAGTGGTAGAGTGCCAGCCTTGAGCTAAAAATATGTGAAAGAGTTTTAGATCCTGAGCTCAAGCCCTAGTATAAAAGAGAGAAAGAAAGAAAATGAAAAGGAGAGAGAAAGAGAAACAGCGTCAGAAGATAATGAGACAGAGAGAAAAGGAGAAGGAGGAAGAAGAAAGAGAAAAAGAAGGAGGAGAAGGGAAGAGGGAGAGGGAGAGGGAGGAAAAAGGAGGAAGAAAGGAGAGGAGAGAAGAGAGGAAAGGAGAGAAGAGGGGAGGGGAGGAGAAGAGAGGAGAGGAGAGGAGGGGAGGGGAGGGGAGGGGAAGGGAGGGGAGGAGAGGAGAGGAGAGGCGAGGAGAGGCGAGGAGAGGAGAAGAGAGGAGAGGAGAGGAGAGGAGAGGAGAGGAGAGGAGAGGAGAAGAGAGGAGAGGAAAAAGAGCCTAGGCGTCAGCTAGCCTTTTCTGCATTCCTGCTATGAGTTGTACTCTGAAGACAGACGGCTGGACTGCCCTCATTAACATCTGAAGAGTGTGCAGAGCAGGCTCAGGAAGGTACATCCACTAACTGTTCAGAATGGTCTCCCAACACAACAGAACTAAGACTTTTCCCATGGCACTTATTCTGCAATTCTCGTGGAGTTTGTGCTTATGTCATCAATAAGCTGACCACTGAGGAAATTGACATCTCCAGTCTATATCCTCCCCTGAGCTCCAGATTCCTATATCCAACTGACTTGGATAATCAAAGAGACAACTTAAACTGTGCAGGTCTCAGAGAGTTTGACTCCCTTTGCTTCAGAGGCCAACATCACATCCCTGGTCTTCTCATCTCCGTGAATGACATCACCACTCACACAGTTGCTCAAGCCAGGTCCCTAGGATTCATCCTGAGTCCTCTCTTCCCTTTACCCCCATTGCATGGCTGTCTATCAGCTGTTCCCACTGTATCTACCTACACAATTCATACCAAGGCTGTCCTCTCCATCTTGATGCCAAACTACCCTACATTGCCAGAGTACACAGAAATAGCTTCAGATCCAGTCTCCAGGATACCAACAGTAATTCTTTTTCTACCCAATGAAGTACTCAGGTTTAAATCACACCCTGTTATATCCTAGCTGGGATATAACTGAGGGCTTCAAGCCTTTGTTCTGGCCCTGTGGTCCCTGACTTTCTCCCACACCCCCTTGCTCCCACGCCACCCACACAGCCATGTTATTCTTCCTTCTGCCATTTCCATGGCCTACCTCATTTCTTCCTTAGGGCCATTGTACTTTCTGCTCTAGTCCCTAACCTATTCTTGGGGGGGTTATACTTTTAGGACACTGCACAGATGCTACCTAAACTTGAACTTGAATTAACAAATAACCTAGCTGCATTAATGTTAGCCATTTCTTGATGTTTGTTTGTCGGTTGTGGGGCTTGAACTCTGGGCCTGGGCACTGTCCCTCAGTTCTTCAGCTCAAAGCTAGCACTCTACCACTTGAGCCCCAGTGCCACTTCCAGTTTTCTGGTGGTTAATTAGAGTTGAGAGTCTCCTTCCCAGACAGGCTTTGAACAGTGATCCTCAGATCTCAGCCTCCTGAGTAGCTAGGATTACAGGCATAAGCCACTGGTGCTCGATTTCTTTAGGTTTTGTTTCTCCAGGTGTTTATCATCCTGTCACATTAGAAATAAATGACATTTTATCTAGTACTTTATAGTTTCCGTAAGATACACACACACACACACACACATGCACACGCACACCTGAGCTCCATGGAATGTGGACCTTGTCAAGCAACAATAAGTATTTTCAAATGAACGCTTTAATTTGATAGTCATATTCCTGTTAAGTATCCCCATGCAATTCATGTGCAAGAATAAAACAAACTACAATGTACACCTCTCTAAATCACAATATGCACTTTCTCTCTTGTCTTCACACAGATGATGGTTCTCTCTTCTAGAAACAGCCTTCCTTTGTTTTTCTTGTGAGCTCTTGTTCATCCTTCAAAATCCTATTCAGGCAATGAGCATTCAATGGGGATGAGGCTGAGATGGATGGGGGCAGCAGGACAGAGGAGCATGCAGCCAGCTGGTGAGATTAGAAGCAGGGGCTTGGAGGAAGAATGGATTGGAATCTCTGGGGTGAAATCCTGCCCAAAGCCTGAAGCTCTCACTTTCCAGAAGCTAAAGAAGCCTTGACCATCCAACAGCTGTACGTCCCTCTCTGTACAATCTTTAACATCTCAAACTTATGTCCCAATAGGACTTGTGACATAGAAGCCACATTCACCCAACAGTTCCACACCAAAGCTTGGCTTGCACATCTATGCACCATGCACATACACCATGTCCAACCGGCCGCACATCTGGCCTCCGACCTGCTACCTCCCCACCCCCACCCCTGGCCAGGCCTCCTCATCTCTTGATGGTGCCTCTGTCATAACTTGAAGTTTTCTTGCTCACACTTGCCTCAACCCTTTTACTCTCCACAGCAGCCAAAGCCACATTTGAAAAACGTGAACCAGATCCTGTCATCCTGTGCTCAAAACCCTCTTTCCACCCTGTTTAGAAGCACCAGCAAAACCCGCCATAATTCAGCCACTATGTGTACGTTAGCCTCACTTCCTCCAGCAAGAGCCCAGAAAGGAGGTTAAAGACACAGACTCCAGAGTAGTCCTGCCGCTCATTGGCTCTGTGCCTCTGTTCCTTATCAGCAAAGGGAAGGTGGTGATGCTAGTGCTTTCCTGAGTCCTGAGATCAACCTCCAATTCATGCCAACCCTGTATGCATGGAAGCAGTTTAAAACAATTTTTCATGTTGTGAAACGTTAACTTAGGGGAAAAAAACCAAGTGAATTTAAAAAAGACTAATGAAAGAGAACATAATTGCTGGTTGTCCTCCTAAAGCCTCGCCCATTCCCCGTGCTGAGCATCTGACCTGGGCCCTTGCCATGCTGGGTAAGCTTTCTCCCACTCAGCTACACCCCAGCCCTTGACAAGCAAGGTTTTTTGTTTGGTTTGGTTTGGTCAGTCATAGGGCTTGAACTCTGGGCCTGGGCGCTGTCCCTCAGCTCTTTAGCTTAAGATGAGCACTCTGCCACTTGAGCCATAGCGCCACTTCCAGTTTTCTGGTAGTTAATTGGAGATAAGAGTCTCACAGACTTTACCGCATGGGCTGTCTTTGAACCATGATCCTCAGATCTCAGCCTCCTGAGTAGCTAGGATTACAGGTGTGAGCTACCAGCACCTAGCGACAAGCAAGTTTTAAAGACATTATCTTTGTAAAATTTTTTTTGATGTGTAACATGAGATCTCCTTTGCCTTGTAGTACACACACACACACACACACACACACACACACACACACAAAACAAAAAACAAAACAAAAAAAACTCGAGAATTAAAGTCTTGTATTGACCTATAACTTGTTAGGTTTAAAAAATAACAGCCTGTTTAAAACACTTTTCATTTGATTTGGCTGTAAACCTGTTTTGAGAGTGGAGGATATGACTTCAGTGATAGGCTATGACAAGTTTGGGGACAGTTTAAAACATTTATTTAATTGGAGAAAACTAGTCATAGACTTCAAAGGCAGCACACAGACTTGCTGATTTGACTCACTGATAGAAGAGACGCTCAACTTTTGCCAAGAGCTGATAGAGCTTCTGTGAGCCCAGCAGAGAGCCCTGGTTGGTTGGTGCTTGTCAGCTGACAGTATGTGTAGCTATAAAACACCCTGAATGTGTCTGTAGCATCAGCCTGGACTTCCTCCAGTCCTACAGGCATCCAAGTTATTGCCCTATCATCTCTGCTTAAGAAAAAAAAAAAAGAAAGAAAGGAAAAAAAGCCTATCCCAGTGTGGGTTTGTTTGGTTTTGGTTTGTTCTATTTGGGTGTATGATGCCTTCCCTTTCCAATTCTGATGAGTTGATTTTCTTTGTGAATGGAAGAAAGGTAAGTTTATGACATGATTAATATGGCATTTTGTATATCAGGGATAAAAGCCAAGAATTCTTTTCACTATGATACCATTCTCATTTCTTTAGTCTCTGTCTCTGTCTCTCTATCTCTCTCACTCTTTTCTTTTTTTCAAGTCATAGATAGTGGTGAGAATTTGGACATGCATCATTAGTTCACATTTTTCTGCCAAACTATTAAATCGTAGGGTCTCTGCTTGGTTTTTAGTTTTCTTTTGGGATCAGATTTTTTTTAGATCTTATTGTACTTGTTATGCTACTATGAAAACTAATCCTGAAAGTTGGCTATATTTAAATACTAGCTTTCCTGGAGTTCACAGTGGTTTTCAGTAGAAGTGATCTGTAGCACTGAGGCAGATAGTAGCATAGGACTTTGCAGTGATGTAATTTCACCTTTTTGAAAGTTCCCTCAGTCTGGAGGCAGAAGTGTCCCTGGAAGGCCTGTGCAGTCAGTAGGTGACTGTGTCCTCTACAGAAGACATTTGTTCTTAATGTTGTGCTTCATGAGCAAACCCAACACATGATAACTTTGAGCTGGTTTAAAGTCAGAATTAATATTGAATTGATTTGGGGGCAATTAGGAAAAACTAGTAAACTAATAATTTTAAAAAGTGACTATCTGGAGGAGGAAATGAAACTTGAATAGAGGCTAAAATTCTTGGTGATTTTGACTATCAATAGCAATCAACGGTCATTTCTGAGAAAAAGAAAAAAGGCAAACCAAACCTATGAACTTATAAATATAAAATGAAAAAGAAAGTCAAAAGTTCAAAGAAAGCCTGGGCTTGGCAAGCTGAAACCCAAATGGGCCATCAGGGAAATCATTGCTAAGGGACAATCTGTAACAAGTTCAAAGCTAAGAACTTTTCTTGGTGTGTGGAAATGGCCTTCACTGTCTTTCCTGTTGAGAAAAATAAGTTGTTTATCCTTAAGTGTTGGGCTAGAATGATGAGTCTTCTCTCTGGGATTCCAGCCTTTCAGATTCAAAGCCTTTGCTTTTGTAGTTTACTTCACAGATTTCTAAGGCAAGATAGAGATAACAAGAGGAGGTGACATGCACCATCTTTGAAGATGCTGTGGTGGTTCTTTCCTTCAGACATGGGGGTGCAGGTCAGCTGAAACACGCCTCCCATTGGTGCATGTGACGGCCACTGTGCACGGCTGCACTCAGCTCCTCTTGTGCTTCATATTATTTCCTTCTTGTCTTTTTACGTTTTCTCTCCCTTGTGTTTTCACTCTTATGCATTTAAAACCTAGATGTTTCCCTCTACATATAGACATATCCTTGAAAGTATGTCTTATATGTCCATGAATGTGGGTGTTCTTAACTTACACAAATGATGTCGTTGTAACTCTCCTTTTGTTTGTTTGTGAATCATTACTGTTTCTGAGGTCTATGGAGGTCATGCTTTAAACACTTGGCTCATTACTTCGAAATGCATAGTTACCCAAGGTGTGTTTATCTTTCCTAACCCACTGCTACGGTGATGAGCAGTGGTTGCCTCCAATTCCTTACCACCCCCAAAATGTTTTACAAACATCCTCTGTGTACCTACTCACCAACACTAGGAAGCATCTCTGTATGAAATTGCAGCAAGATGACTTCACAGGTCTTGCCAGGTGACTTTGGAAGATACAGTACAAGTAACATTTCCCAGTTAACAAAGAGATGATGCATCAATATAGATATGCCAGTACTTGCTACAAACCAGACTTTCTATACCTTGTTTGTCTCTGGATGCAAAATGCTGTTTCATTGTTGGCCTCATTTTTACCTCTCTGGTTCATAACATAGATGACTTATTAAAGTAAAGGAGATTTATTTCCTGGTGTGATTCCTGAAATATTTAAAAAGCTGGGAATACAATCTATTTACTCTTAACAGAACTACATTGGCCTTGATTAATTTCTCCCAAGTCAAATCTTGCCTTTCTCTTGCTTCTTTTGGAACCTTGTCATATTTTGTGCTCTAGACTATAAAGTGTAACCATGACTAATGGGGATGGTAGTAAACTAAGTGCCACCCCATTGGGCTTTCCAAGTGATTGGGAGGTGTTTACTTGGAAATCCAAGTGTTTAGTGTCAACAGACTTTGCTCCCCCAGTACCAGGAAGACTGGAGGAGGCATAGTAGTTCTTCTTGCCCCATAGGAAATAATCTCCATAGCCACATAATTCTGATATTAAAGTGCAAAGAACTTGAATGCTTTGGTTTCTCTACTGGTTTCTCTATCAGTAGTCCTATAGCCCACCAATGTTGAGAGCATAGATGCTGAGCTGATTTCTAGCTTAGCAAATCTTCGGAGAACTCAGAATGAAACTTGGAAGTAGGAGACATCGTATGAAGAAATAATGTGGCTTTCTGCCTTGGCCAGGTGATAAGAATTTTAAAAAAACTTTAATACAATGAGGTCCCTTTGTCTGAGTTCTGCGTTGTTTCCCTTCCAGGTAAGTTGTTTTCTGACTTCCCATAATCTTGCCTGCCTGAGACCCTCCAGGGACTGTAGATGAGACAGGGGCTCTTGTTTTTTTTGTTTGTTTGTTTATATGTGGGCTTTATTTTTTTTGGAGGGGGACAGTAGTGAGCTCTGAATTCAGGTCCAGGTCATATACATGCTAGCAATCACTACCACCTATCAAGTGCTAGCTTTGATCTGTGGCTCTAACAGCCTGGAGCTCAGCATGTGGGACAGAGCCATGACTAATGTCCCCTCCACTTTCCCTCTCACGTTGGCCCCTCCATCTCAGTGGGAGACATAATAAATGAGTGGCAGACGCAGGGAAGCAAAACCTCAGGTTTAGAATATCGCTGATAACCTTTTCTGTGACTTTCTGTGGCCACGAACTGGCTGAGTCAAGTTTATTTATTTATTTTTTTTTGTCGGTCGTGGGGCTTGAACTCTGGGCCTGGGCGCTGTCCCTCAGCTCTTCAGCTCAAGGCGAGCGCTCTACCACTTGAGCCACAGCGCCACTTCCCTGAGTGAAGTTTAGAATCAGTGCATCTGTTCCCTACCTGGGTCCCTTCCAGGTGAGATAGGTGAATGATCGCTGTACATATTGGAAAACTCAGACATTGAAATGATGCTTCGCTATTTATTTCTTCAAAGTTCTGGTTCCAAGTCTTACTAAAGTTACCTTTGTTATTTTTCCCTTGAAAAACCATCTCCATCAAAAACATGTCCTCAGATAATGAATAGAATTGCTGTAATAAATTGAGTCTGTCTTCCTACAATTCCTTCCTGTTTCACACTGTAGGTAATAGAGAAGAATGCTGATCCAGAAGTCAATCTACTGTTCTACCTGAGGAATGTCTGTATCCTTTCATTTTACTGTAATCAGTCTGAGTTTGGTGGGGGAATGTCACCATGCTAGAAATTATCAAGAAGGCCACTTGGGCTTGTTTCATTGGCAGAATCCCACTGGAGTTCAAGGAACATATCTATCTATCCATGTTCTTTATGTTATAATTTTTTTACCAGAGGAAAAAACAAAAGAAACCTCTAGCAAACCATGATTGTGCCCACTTAGGAAATAACTTGATGCCTTTTGAACCCTATGATACACTGATGTTAATGTCATACTCAGAAATTTTTTTGTGTGTGTATATACATACACATACATATATATATATATATATATACACACACACACACACACACACACATGTTCAGCCAGGCATTGATGGCTCATGCTTGTGATCTTAGCTACTCAGGAGGCTGAGATTTGAGGATCTTGGTTCAAAGCTAACCAGACAGAAAAGTGCATGAGACTCTTGTCTTCAATTAACCAGCATAAAAGATAAAAATAGACATGTACTCACATAGTAGGTTGAAAAAGTCAAGGAAGAGTATAAGGCCCTGAGCTCAAGCCCAGGACTGGTATGTATACACACACACACACACACACACACACACACACACACACACCCTAAAAACCTAAATCTGTCTATCCAATCTGTCTATCCAAATATCCAGGAGTTCACATTGCTGATACTACTGTACTATAAGACATTTTACTGATTTATTCTATACCCTTGCATGATCCATATCAAAGTTTAATTAAGATATTTCAAAACTATAACTTAAGTAGGTCAGAGCTTTTGAGCCATCTTGAGCCCTGTACAGAATGTAGTCAATGTATTCCAAGCTCTCCACCTCTGATCCTGACTCCCCATTCCTCCAGGACCTGCAGTAATCTTTGGTAAACAGTTATTCAAGGAAAATTGCTTGAGTTTTGGTGCACTTAGAAAGGGATGTGAAAAGAAGAAATTGTGGCAATGATTATACAAATGTGTATATGAGACAGAATTGCATCAAGTAGTACACTCGAATATAAATGCATATATTTAACGATTGATTGTACTGATGCCAATTTGCTGGTTTTAATGCTGTCCTACAGCTATGTGAATGTCACTACTTAGGGAAACATGGTGGTTAAAGGGCAGGACATTGTACTTACTACTTCACAACTTCCAATAAGACTGTAATTCGTTATTAAAGAAAAGGAAAAGAACATTAACAGTAGCCAGACACTGTTGGCTCACACTTGTATTCCTAGCTACTCAGGAGGCTGAGTCTGAAGGTTATAAGTTTAAAGGCAGTTGGGGCAGGAAAGCCTGTGAGATTCTTATCTCTGATCAACCACCAAAAAGCCAGAAGTAGAGATATGGCTCAGGTAATAGAGTGCCAGCATTGATCAAAAAAGCTAAGGGACAAAATCCAGGCTCTGAGTTTACTCCTAGTATCAGTACACACAAGCATACACACGTGCTAAAATATACACTCACTAAGTACCTAGGAAGTGCTAGGCCCTCGGTATCCAGAGATGAACAAGAGAACAAGATAATACTACCCTCTTTGTCTCCTAGGATCACATCTAAAAGTACTACTTCATTATTTCTATTCTTGTCTTGATAAACTTACCTAAGAAATAATTTCTACTTGGTACCTGGTCTTCATCCTTATAATGTTTTCCTCCCTGTATCATTGACCTTTTCCTCCCTATATCATTGACCTTTTCCTCCCTGTATCACTGACCTGTGGCCAGTACTGCCTCCTAACATACCTGCTCCATTCACATTCCAGACAGTCCACCCTCCCTCGGCCTTCCATCTTGTTCCCAACTCAGTATCTCACTATTAGTCTGAAAGCCTTAGCTTTCCTCTTTTATATCATTCCCAAACTCCTCACTCATACCATGCGTTCTTTACATTTCCTAAAATGAAGAAATTCAGCTCTCTGAGTGGCTAGCTGAAAATTCATAGACTCCCAAGAAAACATGGCCCCAGCCAGCCCCAGGCAAAGTCACTAGAGAACTCCACCTCCCAGCACTTGCCTCTGTACATTCCTTGCCAAATACAAATGCACAAGTCTGCATAAATCGAACTCTCCTGTCACTTCCAGGACCTAACTTGTGATTAGAGTTCTGAAGCAGAGAGGGTGGTATTATTTTAATATGTTCCTCCTCAGTGGGTGGTTCTGATGAATGGCCAATATAAACGATGAATATTTGGAAATAACCATGGATTTTTTTCTGCAAGAAAGAATACTAGCCTACTGTACTTTCACAGGACTCTTGTGACCATTTCTCTTTTTTTTTTTTTTTTTGCTGTTTGTGATGGTTATCATGGGGCTTGAACTCAGGGCCTGGGTGCTGTCCCTGGGCTCTTTTGCTCAAGGCTAGACTGGTGTTCTACAATTTTGAGCCACAACTCCATTTCCAGTTTTCCGGTGATTAATCGGAAATATGAGTCACACAGACTTTCCTGCCCAGGCTGGCTTTGAGATCCTCAGATCTCAGCCTCCTGAGTAGCTAGGATTACAGGCGTGAGCCACCAGCACCCAACTCCTGTGACCCTTTCTAAAACCCTATATATATAGATTCCTGTTCATAATTGTATGAGATTCCCTTAATTTGTGTCTCCATACCATATAAACTTCAGGTTCCCACAAAACCTCAGTTTTTGCTGACTTGGGAGCCCATGACGTGTCATTGGCAGAGGAGGACATAGTCACACAAAAAATAAAATTGTTTGGGGACATCCCTTCTACTATTCCACTCCCTCCCTGCCCAAGGCCAGGAGAGTCTTCAGAGGCTCCAGCCTCCCATTGAGTCATTCCCCTCCCAGATGCTCTGCAAGGTCTGAGGGACCTGATCCCATATCATTTCTCCCTCAACATTCCCCAGCCTGATTTTAAGCACTCTGATTCAGCAGGACCAGACGATGCATCACAAAACGTGAAGTGGCCACAGTTATTTAGGGCAAGGAAAGTGTGGCATGATAGAGTTGTTTAATTCCTGGGAGATGTTGGCTTTTGATAAAAACTGAGTGTTTGGGGGGGAGGGGTATCAGAAGGATCCTCAAACATTTGTCACTCACATACCCTTCACCACAACCCTGACATTTCATGCAGTTCTCAAAACAGCGATTCCATGCAACCAACAAATGCTATTAAGCACCGGGTGTGCAGAGGTATGCTAGATATACTTATATATATCAAAGATGACAGCTCTGACTGAGAACACAGGGAAAGTGTAAAGAGTACTTGGCAGACGTAAAGAGGGAGGGAACAGATGAGGGAGGAGTAAGAGTTTTCAAGGCAAATTGAAGTTTGAGCCAAATATGTTCTACTCAGCAGCACAGAAGCCAGAGGCAATATGTGTGTGTGTGTGTGTGTGTATTGCTAGCTGGTCCCTGGTGGCTTACACCTGTAATCCTAGCTGCTTCGGAGGCTGAGATCTGAGGATAGTAGTTTGAAGCCAGCCCAGGCAGGAAAGCCCATGAGACTCTTATCTCCAATTAACTACCAGGAAGCAGGAAGCTGGAAGTGGAGCTGTGGCTCAAGAATGCTAGCCTTGAGCACAAAAACTCAGGGACAGCACCCAGCCCCTGAATTCAAGCCCCAGTACTAGCATGTGTGCAAATGCGCGCGCGCGCGCGCACACACACACACACACACACACACACACACAAATATATTGCTCCTGAGAAGCTAAAGGGAATTTATCCTTATCGATAATAAAAGTAAGAAGTAAAAGTAAGAATGGAAGAATATGATAGGAAAGCAAAGAAAACTAAACAATGAAATCCTTGAAGTCAGGGATCAGGTCTGCACTTATTGGCTGCCCATTTAGTTCTAGGAAGTGGAACTTCTGGATATGCTGCCAAACTGTGTGCCTCAGCAAAACTCACAAAGCTCTTCTACAGAAAGAAATACAAACAAAACTCATGATGTGTATTGTTTTTTATTCAGCCTAAGTATGAATCCTGCACTTAGCTTATAAAATTAAAGTATTCCTAGTTAAATTTAAATTTGAATGCAGAGAACACACATATGGTAACGTTCATCTGAAATTCAAATTCAACTGGGGATCCTACATCTTAGCTGGCAACCCTACCTAACAATGAGCCCACAGAATGCAAAAGAAATTGAGTCAGCCTTTTTACAGAGAGTAGAGGATGGAACAGCAAAAGCCAGCTGGGGTAGGGTGTCAGAGGACCAAACAGCCAGTGGAATCCTTTTCTTCACTTTTCATTCAGAGCTGCAATGCACATCACAGAGCTGTTTTAAGTTCCAACAAAGTGAGAAGTGACCTCCAGCTTTGAGCCAGACACCACTCTGATTGGATTCTTAATTTGGAAACTTCAGGACACCAAAAACAGAAGCAAAGGATTCCCTGCCTTTTACATCCTATTCAAAGGAGGTCAGACTGACACTACTTTCAAACATCTACCTAGCCTTAGCAGTCAGCAGCCCTGACCTGCCCTAGCTGACTTAGACTGGGAACTAGAGAACAGAGTGATGGGTAGCCTTTGGAGCAGCTACACAGAATGAACACCCAAACCAAACTCTTTATTCCAGCAACAGGGAGATTCCTGACCCAGTATCACCCTGTTCAAGGGTAGCAATTTCTAAAAAGAAATTGACTCTTAGCCTACCTGTAAACCAATTATGAGCTCCATTCATGAAATCTTTTGAAACTTTACCCAGCAACAATCCCAAGCAAATTCTGGTACATGCTTAGATGTATTTCCAGTGGAAGCTAAAGCAAAGGCTTTGTATATATTATTTATTCCCCCTTTGTGGGAAAAAAACATACAAACATAAGCTTAAGGGAAAAAGAAAAAGATACATGGGTTACTGGCATATTCAAGAACCATAGTTTTTAAATTAATCCTTTCTAATCCCATAAGAAGATAAAGGTACTAATTGCTGTACCAGAGAAAGTCAAGCCTCCGGGGGTCCAAGGAGGGTGTTCTAGTTTGGCATGCAAACCACTTCCCACCATCCTCACAGCAATGACATCACATGGACTCAGAATCTCCTGCCAAACATGCTGAGTTCTGTTGAAACTTGTGAGCTTCTGCAGAACACATTTAGACGCAAATCCTAACCAAACGGATGTGAGGCTCAAGTAGATTTTGCATATCCTACTTACTGTGAATATCCATCCCATTCACTGCAGAAATATCTATGTGTTGGAATACAAAGTTTTGTTCCAGTCCTTTTATTCACAAGTAATTGCAGTAAATATCAATATCTTTCCAAACTCTGAATGTACTTTTATATTCAGAAATGCCTCTGGATCTGAGATTTTTCAGGTAAGTTGAGGAACCTCAGGGATTTCTCCTTGCTTTCATTAATGAGTTCGTTTATAAGCAAAAAGTCAGGCCATCTCTCTAAGCAAACCACTGTAGCCAACTTGGTACAGGACTCAAGAAAATAAGTTGCTGGTTACCCATGTCCACCAGTGAGAAATGAAAACAAACCAAAGCTACTGAATCCTTTGCCTTGACTCTCTTCCTTCCAGTACATCTCACAGGCACTAAATATGCCTGTGGAGGAGGAGGCTGCGGTGCCTGCACAGTGATGCTGTCAAGATACAACTCCAAGACCAAGAAGATCCAGTATCCTTTGCATTAGTCTGGCCAGCTCTGCACATCTAGAAGGGCAGAGAACCCCCATGCACATACTGTGCCCAGATCTCTCTCCAGAAGAAGCTATTTGTCCTGGCTGCCAAGTTCTTGGGGCTCTCCTCTCTATTGCCACCAAATGAATGAAACATTCCAGTGTGCCAGTCAAGAACAGAATGGCAAATAAGTGCTAGCCTTGGTGGGAAATGTTCTCTGTCACATGCTAAGAAGAATTCTTGGCCCTAAAGAGCTGATCATGGTAGAGGACTGAGCAAGGATCACTTTGACCTAGAATGGCTTCCTTGACCTAGAATGAGAAATAAAATAACAAATGGGGAATGGGGGTCTCTGAGAGGTCTCACATGAAAACCTTCCTCATTTTTGTTTTACAGTTTTTTAGTTTTGTTTTGTTTTTGTCGGTTGTGGGGCTTGAACTCTGGGCCTGAGTGCTGTCCCTCAGCTCTTCAGCTGAAGGCTAGTGCTCTACCACTTGAGCTACAGCGCCACTTCCGGCTTTCTGGTGGTTTATTGGAGATAAAAGTTTCAGAGACTTTTCCTGCCGGGGCTGGCTTTGAACCATGATCCTCAGATCTCAGCCTCCTGAGTAGCTAGGATTACAGGCATGAGCCACCGGCACCTGGCTTAGTTCTATTTTTATAGTTCATGGTTTTATAGCTAGCCTTCTCTGTGCTCAGGGAAATATCATCCCTGTGATTTTTCTCAGACTAAAATAACTCTGTGAGTTATATCACCCACGTCCCATGATTCCAGTGGATTCTCTTTAAATAATCCCATCGCAGCCACTACCCAGCAACAGCATGCCTGGTGCCTATCTGCTCTCTGTATGGGGCTGCTGTCACCACCGTGGAAGGTGTTGGAAGCATCAAAACCAGAATTCACCCTGTGCAGGTAAGAAATCACATGAGTGAGATCAGGAGTTGGTATAGGCATCCCCTGTAAGACTATGTGCTCCCATCAGGTCACCAAACTTGACATTCTTTATGTTTTCAATTCTTATTTTGTAAGCTTCCATGCTTCATAACTGAGCACTTTTTTGGAGATTCATTTTTCAATGTATTTTACCCTCAAGATACTTTCTCAATCCCATCTCTATATTTGCCCTAAAGTAAAAGAATAGTCTAGTCTGACAAAGTAGGAAATCAAACAAGAAATCACAAATCATCTCCCACATTTCAAACTCACTCTGAAAGCAAGGCCAGTTATGTGTGGGAACTGGCCTAGTGCCCTCCAAATGTCTGATACATAATCATATACTAGGCTACAACAAAACATAGCTAGATTAACAAGGGGTTTGCTAAAGTTTGCTGAAGAAATGGCAACATTACTTTAATATACTAGAATAGGAACTTATTCTTTGAGTGAGTTTTAAAGTCAGAACATAGAAAGAGAATGATGAAACCAGGGAGAAGGGGACTAAGAGTTCAAGACCAGCCTGAGCTGTGTATCAAAACCCTGTCTCAAAAGACAGGGATAGAGAAAGAGAAAGAGGAAGACAGAGATACAGGGTGGGGGAGGGAAATGACTTGAGGGAGGGAAGAGAAAAGGGTGGGGGAGAGACAGGCAGGGAGGGAAAGGAAGATAAAGGATCCTTTGCTCTTTTTTCAGTTTTATTTCTTTATTTACTGTAAAGGTAATGAATAGGGGGTACACTGTTACCCCTCCCTCATTTCTCCCACTTACCACTCCCCACTTGCCTCCCCTGCCCAAGTTGTAAGGTTCATTTCCAACATAGTGTCTAGTGAGTTTCATTGTTGCATTAGCTCATCCTTTGTCCTGCTGTTTCTGTGATTCCCTTTCCCTTCAACAAATCAGATAAGCTTATTTACAGGACAAAGGATATAGAAAATTAAAACAGAAAGAAAAATAATAGAAATGACTGGACACAGGATATAATAAGCTACCAGCACAACCATGTTCATTGCATTTACCATGTTCATCATTTACCATAGCTAAGATATGGAACCAACCCAGATTCCCCTCAATAGATGAACAGATCAAGAAGATGTGGTATATAAACACAATGGAGTTCTGTGCTTCCATCAGAAAGAATTACATTGCACCATTCATAAGGAAATGGAAAGGCCTGGAAAAAATCATATTAAAGCAAGCCAGGCCCAAAGAAATACATGTTTCATGGTTTCTCTCATTTGTAATAACTAGACTATGTCTATAATATTTTTAGCAGGGGATCACAATAGCCCAATTGCTAAGTGCATAGGACCATATATAATGAAAAGCATCAAAATGAACTTCAAGAATTGGAAACAAGAGGTTCTTATTATGTCCTTTGCTCTTGAGACTATTCCTCTTAGCAGGAGGTTACAATACCAGCTCCTTACCTTTGATTGACACTAAAACTTAATGACTATTCTCTTTACCATCTTAACCTACACTTGACTCATCACTTTAATTACATGTGCACTTCCTGCTCAACTTGCCTGATTAGTTCCTCTCAAATCTTGTTAGTACAAAGCTAGAATGTTCCCTATGCCCTGGAGCAGGCTTTTCCTGTTGCTTTGGCTTGTAAGAAAGATCCCATTGTTAAATTTGCAGAGATTCTCAAATTAGTCTTTAAACATATCCATTGTTAAAATTAAACTATATATTTATAATTCTCTAATGGATTAAATTAAGTCAGCCATGGTAGCAGTAGTATTTGTACAATGCAAGTTGGAAATTAGGATCTTAACCAGGGTTTTGCCCCCACTTCAGAGACCAACTCCACTAGTACATTAACACACAACTTTATGTGGCAATTGCCACCCAGCAGCAAATTCAACACAGCCACATTGTCTTCTTATGCTGGAAAAATGCCTGTGCTATTAAGAAAATGTTCATTTGAAAATATTTGAATCGCCTCTAGCCAGCTCACAGAAGCAGCCTGGAGAAATGCACAGGGAAGATATACAGTCAGGACTCCTGTCTGTGAGGAGCAGAAAGACTCTAGGCTCTGTAGGAACATTTCTTACTCTCTTTTTCATTGTTTGTTGTTTGGTCTGGTCATTATGTTCTCATTTTGAATGTATACATGAGTAGCTCAATAATACTAAACAGTACTTCATAATTTCCAAAACATTTATGTAGATGATGTCATTTTTATCCATTAAAATTTCTAGTCTTTTAAAAAAATATTCTAGTGTACAGATACAGATTAAAATAACTTGCCAAAAACAATACTAAATGATTTGTGCAATTCACTCATATATAACCATCATTGGACTAATTTTAAAAATTAAGAAAATTCAAGCAGATCATTCAAAGTAAAACAACAAAGCAATCACAAGAAGGACAAAAACTCACATAGGAGTGGCTCCAAGGCTTTTAAAAAAATTCCTCTAAATTAACCTTCCCATTTCACAAGGAAAGAGACCAGGATGTATAGACAAGTATCTTAATCCCTCTCGCCTTTCTTGAGGGCCAAAATAATATGCATCTGCCAGGCACTGATGGCTTACAGCTGTGATCCTCACCACTCAGGAGACTGAGATCTGAGGATCAAGGTTTGCAGCCAGCCTGGGCACAAAAGTCTGTGAGATGTTTATCGCCAATTAATCAGCACAAAAAGGCAGAAGTGGAGCTATGGTTCAGGTGATAAAGTGCCTGCCAAGCAAGAGCCTGAAGCAAATGGCCGTAAGTATAAAAAGTGTATGGTTGTCTCCTAGGAACGACTGGCCAAGTGTCATGGCACACAGTGTGGATTCTGCAGCCCGGGGATGGTGATGTCCATCTACACATTGCTCAGGAACCACCCCGAGCCCACACCTGGACAGATCACCGAAGCTCTTGGAGGTGAGCCTCCTCAGCCCTGTGCAGCCAGTCTGGAGCAGAAGGAATGCAGGGAACTGGCAATCCACCCCTTGGCTCATGAGGAAAGATCTGTGTCATGGCTTTTGGGACATAGACACCTGGCCTCCTTGGTACCTGTCTCTAGCAAGGCCTTCCCACAATGGGCTGTCTTCATTTCAGTAGCATTGATGACAGAACTTGGGGAAATATTGGCCCCCTTCAGGCCCTTTGTCCCCCTGCAAAGGCACTTCCGTGAGTTGTTTCTGAAGCTTTCAACACAATCTGGTCCAAAGGTGGAAACTTAGGTCAAGTGAAAGAATATTTTGCTTTTTGGTTTTTAATTAATCTATCAGCATCATGCATTAACATTGCTTACTGAAATTAATTTTGCAAAGAAAGAAGAGGGACTTTCAGATACTTTACATCTTTATGTCCTGGCTGATCGTTGCAATATGACCAAGGAGATCATAAATAATAATCTGTTCTCACAAACAAGTTGAGTGAATGATTCAGTGTCCTATAGGGAAAGACACATATCAATTTTGTTTGTTTTTGCCAGTTCAGGGACTTGAACTTTGGATCTAGGCACTGTGCCTGAGCAACTTTTGCTCCAGGATAGTATTCTGCCTTGAACTACAGCACCACTTCTGGCTGTGCGTGTGTGTGTGTGTGTGTGTGTGTGTGTGTGTGTGTGTGTGTGTGTGTGTGTGTGTGATTAATTGGAGATAAGAGTCTCACAGACTTTCCCACCTGGGCTGCTTCAAACTCCAGTCCTCATATCTCAACCTTCTGAGTAGCTAGGATTACAGGTGTAAGCTACCAGCACCTGGCTAAGCTAAATTTAAGTGAAATATATATATAATTTTTCTCTCCAAAGGAGGGCATATTAATAATGAGGTTTTCTGTGACACACTTAGCCAGTCTCAAGATGACTGGTCACCAGTTATTAGAAGAAAGATTTTAATTCAGACCTCTAAATATTAAAGGAAAACTCTGTCTCTCAATGAAGAAATCTGGACAGGAACTCAATAGCAGTGTGAAAAGCAGCAAAAAATAAAACTAAGTAAAAATTCAAGTTAAGTGTTTGTGAAACTGGCAAATAAGTATCCCTTAACATTTTCCCTTATTAACAACTTCACTCAAAAATTTTCAGATTCTAAGTACTGTTCAAATTTTATCCTGTGGCTTCAATTATCATTTCAATTAAACCTGAATGGATGGAGGATTGATCATCTTTTCTCAGTGAAGTAAAGAGCAACTAATGAGAAATCAAGAGCTTTAAAAGTCAGAGATGGCTTGCTTGTCATTATATACAGAGTCTTAAGGAGGCGTATTACTTCCTCCCAGATTCTGTGCCTAAAATTCATGTAACAATCACCAAGAAAGAGATGGTATTACCAAGTTTAGCAGGTTGGGATAGATAATGGTATCCTACATGTAGATGACTTAAAGAATGTATTTTGGCTTTAGGCTATTTACTCGTAATCTTTCTAGACTTATAAATGTTGGCCATCTTGACAACTTTCATGTTTATAGTCTAATAAAAATAGTCATATAAAATTCAAAGAAATGTATTCAGTGTAGGTCCATAAATTCTCAAATGGGCCATTGATAGAAGCTTCTGTTTCATGTCACCTAGTCTCTTCCCTTCACGAGTGGTTTTTTATTTCTATTTTTCTTATAATTAGGAGAAACTTTCTGGTAGTAGGGAGTCATTGTCTCTCCCCTAGTGGGTCATTAGTAGAGTTTGTAGACTTAGCACCAATGAGGTGGGAAAAAAGCTACTGGCTCACTCTAGCTCTTAATATTTGTTTTTATCAGAGGAGGTATTCATTGCCTCTGAAATACTACTATTTCTTGTCTTATAATTAATTATGTTCTAGAAATTTCAGCTCCTTCCCTGCACTCTCAGGAGGAATGGGAGTTTATGGAGCTTGCCACCATTCTTGTGTCTACAGTTTCTTGCTAAACTATTCACAAGGGAATAAAAAGAAAAGAGCCCACAGCCCACTCATCCACACACGGTTCCACACAGCATTTTTTTTTTGTAGATGTTTCAACCTGCCCAACCTCGTATACACATGGCTTCTGAAATTGCTCAACTATAGTGGAACAAAATAATTTGAAATATACATTTATCAATCTCTTTTATGCATAGGTTTTGTTTAGCTTGAATACTTGCAACTATTACTATATGCAACTTTTATTAAAGGTACAATTTTAACAGTATAGTAAAATTTTTTCCCATATTATTGAACCTTCTTCATAAATATCATTCACAGTGGCTACAAAGTTGGAATATACTTTTTAAAAATACTTGTTTTCTCCTCTTTTCCACCAGATTTAGGAAATTTTGTTGGACAAAAACACTTCCAGTTATTTATTGAGCAATACAGTCTGTGTTGTTTCTTTCAGCTCATAGTTTTGGAGTTCTAGTCCATGATCTATTGGCTGAAGTCACAGAGTACCTGCCCAGTAAGTGCAGGATTCTGAGTTCAAACCCCATTACCACAAAGATAGTTGTGGTAAAATAGTTAAGATAGTTGTTCCACTAAAAACATTAAGCACAGCTATGTTATTTATTTCTATATTATTCCCTAAAACTTTATCCATTATTATTCAGGTAATTTGTGCCGATGTACTGGATACCGACCCATTGTTGAAAGTGGGAAAACTTTCTGTTTGGTAAGTTAAAAAATAATCCATTCTCTTGACTTACTTTGTTAGTAAATTTTTGTATGAAATAATCTATTGCTTTCAACAATCTCTAAAGTAACCCTATGATGTTCTTTCTATCAAAAGATATTAAATGGCTACTGATTATAAATTTTAATCATATATATTTTATATCCCTTTGTAGCTATATGTTTATTTCTAAATGTTTATATCTCTAAATTTGTCACTTTTCTGTGGCATATATAATTTAGTCCATGACTTCAATAACTGAATATTCTATTGAAGAAAATTAAGTACAGAAACAATAAAAGCACAATAGAAGGATAGTAAACAGCTCAATAGATTCTGTACATATGCATACAATTTTAAAAGGAATGGGAACTAAAAAGAATGAATAGAAATCCTCAGATCTCAGCCTCGTAAGGATTACTGCATGAGTCACCGGTGCCCAGTTTACATATAGAAAATCGAAAAAGTAGCTTGTCTTCCTAGGACTTTATTAAATATACATGCTATCTCACCATTATGATAATGAGAAACACTCAGGAACTGGGGAGGTAGCTCAGTGGTAGTATATTTGCCTAGTATGTACAAGGCCCTGGTTCAAACCCTAACTCCACAAGGAAAATAGAAAGGGAGAGAGAGAAGCAATCTATTTGGGTTGATGGCCCATTCTAACTAAACTCCATATACCTACTTTATTTCCAGCAGGAAGCTTTAGATGGCTGACCCTGCCCACTTTAACCTCCCTTGTCTTTCTATGACACTAGAGTAACACTGTTGGCAGGCCTGCACCACGGAAAATGGCTGCATATTCCCTCTAATTTTCTCTAATTAGTCCATTGTAGAATAACACATTAGCAGAATACTCAGGTAAGTATTTGAAGTACTAACTAAGAAAGCTGATTCAGACTTCATTGTGTCCTAAGGAATCAACTGTTTGTCAACTGAAAGGATCAGGCAAATGTTGCATGGATCAAGGTAAAGAATCTTCGAGCAGACAGGAAAAAGTAAGTATCAGCTTTTTTAGTGATTTCTAAAAGTTAATAACACGAATCTAAATGTATTCACGTCTTGTTTGTAATAACATGCAAATGAAGTGAATTCTGATTACAAAAAGCTTAATAGAGCAGAGCTACTGTGGCTCATGCCTATAATCCTAGCTACTCGGGAGGCTGAGATCTGAGGATCATGGTTCAAAGCCAGCCATGGCAGGAAACTTCGTGAAACTCTTATCTCCAATAAACCATCAGAAAACCGGAAGTGGCGTTAGCCTTGAGCTGAAGAGCTGAGGGACAGTGCTCAGGCCCAGAGTTCAAGCCCCACGACCGACAAAAAAAAAAAAAAGCTTACTAGAGCTCCAAACACAAGGGGCCTATGGCACCCAAAAGGGTGGTACACAGGCTGCTTTTGATCAGCAGAATTACAGTCCTGGGCCTTAATCTGGATCTGCCAGCTGCCCGACAAGCCGTAAGGGGAACCAAACAGCAGTGTACCTTCATGCTCAGGCCAACATGTACCTGCAAATAGTACGTGAGACCCACTATAAAAGTCAAAGCATGGCTTCTGACACCAAAGGAGGCAACTCAAAGTCCAATGGTGTGCTAGAGAAGCCACTCCACAGCTTTGGGAGGGCGGGGAATTCTTCACTCAGGGACACGCTGAGGCCCTGGCACCTCATTTTGTCTCAAGGGTATTAGGGGGGGAAAAACCTTAACTCTGAAGTCTCACGCTGAAAGGTCCCTATATTTCTCTCCATAACTCTGAGGTCTCTTTTTCTGTTTTGTTTTGTTGAGATATGTACCAAACTGTATAATGAAGATGAATTCCAGCCCTTGGATCCATCCCAGGAGCCAATATTCCCTCCTGAACTAATAGTAAGACCCTTGACTTTGGTTGTTCCACTTCTTGTAGCATGCTATGGAATTGCTGAACTGTAGGCATTAAAAATTGGAAGCGTGTCCACTGAAATAATTGACCCATGTCTAGTGATTTGTTCCCCTCTACTAGAGATAACTGAAGTTTGGAAGAGTAGTGATGAACACATAGTTCAGAAACACTTGTAGTTAAATCCCATCAGCTGAAGATCATGAGTTAGAATGTAGATGATTCACCCAAGGTCACACAGCTACCCAAGGTCATACTTGTAAAACCAGCAAAGCAGGAATCAAATGATACTTATAATCATGGAATCCAATGTTCTTACAGTTATCCTCTAGGTCAACACAATAGGAAGAAAGAGGTAGAAAAATACACACTATTTCATTATCATATCTCAGAGAGATCAGGCGAGGAGAGAGATGACTCTGCTGGTGTCTCAGAAGCTCTCAGTCCTCTGGGCCCCTCTGAGTATGAGAACTGAGCATTTTGATTATGACTAGTGTTTTAAAACTATGTATAAGCTGAGTGCCAGGGCTCACACCTGGGATCTGAATATCATGGTTCAAGCCACCCCTAGCAGGAAAGTTCATGAGACTCATCTCCAATTAACCACCAAAAAGCCAGAAATGGAGCTGTGGCTCAAATGGTAGCAAGTATCCTTGGAACAGAAAAACTCAAGGACAGTTCCCAGATCCTGAGTTCAAGTCCCAGGACTGGCACCAAAAATGTATATAAAAACAGACTTATATTGATAGATATAGACACATATAGCATTGTAAAACAACAACAACAACTCCATTTACACTCTACTTGTTGAATGATTTAATAGATGTTTTGCAGCAAGTTATGCCTATAAGCAATTTTTGTTCTAATCCCCACAAATGGGTGTCCTTTGATTCACTACATGGTATAACTATAAACAAGAAGCCTGACATTTTAATTCCAGACTAAGAAACTTCTATTGCACCACAAGGCTTCTTCACACTCCAAATTCACAAACACAAAGAAACTTTATGCTAGTTTCTATACAACCCACTCTTTCCTGGCCCCTAAAAGTGAATCTCCTCAAAAAGCTACAATGACTAGCAGACCACTCAGACACTCATGGTTTGTTCAAAAGCCTTTCGTGAAATCACATTGGCTCAATTTCTCTACAGAGAATGGCAGAAGACCCAAATAAAAGAAGACTGACATTCCAAGGTGAAAGGACTACCTGGATTACCCCTGTGACCTTGGATGACCTTCTAGAGCTGACAGCCAGGTTCCCCAAAGCTCCACTCATCATGGGGAACACTACAGTGGGTAGGTGGTCATTACACATGTTATATTCATTTAGATTAGGGAATCTAAACATCTGTGTCTCTCCTTAGACTCTTCATTTTTATTAACATTTATGGTCTTTTAGAAGGCTTTGTAGTTTTCTTTTGCAATGACTTACATAAATTACCATTTTCACTCTGACTTATCAGTGAATGACTTCTATTATATCTATTGTCTTCTTTTTCTAATCACCTGATGTGATTTTCCCCCTTAAGGACCCAGCATTAAATTTGAAGATGAATTCCATCCAGTTCTTATATCTCCACTTGGGCTTCCAGAGCTATATTTTGTAAACTCCACGGATGATGGTAAGTATCTTCTTTTTTCCAATAGCACATGACCATTTTGGCTGTTGGGGACCATCAGTAATCAATGAGGTACATTGGAAGATTTTTGCACTTCATGTATCTGATCTCATTTATTCATTTGAAGTGATTGACTAGTCACCTACTATGGTGAAAATGCTCACTGAGCATTTTCAAACTGATTCATTCAGCTATATCTTGGAGTGGTGCTACCACTGACACTGATATTATCAGAGAGCCATAATAGCATAATATGCCATGTCACACAGCCAGATACATAAAGAATGACCAAATTTTAAAAGGCAGTTGCTGACCAATAGGAAAGGGTCTTGACTGACACATTTTAACTTCTTTTTTGGGGGGGAGGGAGGGAGGGGTTCTGTCGTGGGGCTTGAACTCTAGGCCTGACCTCTGTCCCTGAGCTCTTTATCTCAAAGCGAGCGCTCTGCCACTTGAGCCACAGTGTTACTTCTGATTTTCTGGTGGTTAATTGGAAATAAGAGTCTCACAGACTTTCCTGCCCGGGCTGGCTTTGAACCATGATCCTGAGATCTCAGCCTCCTGAGTCGCTAGGATTACAGGAGTGAGCTACCAGCACCTGGCACATTTTAACTTCTTAATTCACAAATTTTCTCAAGTCTCACCCCATGTCAACACATACAGACACCCAGACATACAAAAGAAAAAAAGATAAATCTTGGCCACAAGATTTGAAAAGCAACTAAGAACAACCATCTTTCCTTATTTTTATACTCTTTTCACAATTTACCTTCCTGACAAGTTGACTTTTACAACCACCTTGGGTTCAAGCAGAGCATGGAGCCTTGGCACTTCCATTATCCTACAGAAGATGCCGAACCACAGGGCCTAAGTAACCTCCCAGCATCCTACAGCTAATGTGAGGCCAAGACAGGGATCCAACTTTAGCCCCCTTAGTGCATGCAGCATACTGAATAATGTTTTGAAAACATGTCCCCCTAACCTCTTTTATATCAAGCATATGAATACATAATAGGTTATAGGAGATATATAAATATATATATATATATATATATATATATATATGGCTTCTCCAATGAATAAACAGAAATCAAGTGGATATTTGTTAGCCCCTTTGACCTACCCAACTTGACACTTTTGTTTTTTGCCTGGTGGAAGGTCTATATGAATGGACTCACAGGAAAAGAAAGGGTGAAGGAAGTCAGCTAGGTTGAAGGGAGGATTAAAGGAAGTGTAGGAGGATTTAGTCAGGATAGTGGGGATAAAAGAATGGGGGGCTATAGAACCAGAACAATGTTGCTCAACCTTTTCTTCATTGTCACTCCTCTAAAGAACAATAAACACTGTTTCTCTAATCATCCCTCCATGAAATTTTAATACCACAGGTAGACTGTGTATCTTTATGTACAGTATGTGTATTGGTGCTTTATACACAAAATAATTTGTTTATTTTTCCATTTTCTTGGGAAAAATTTTACCGTTGCTGAAAGCATATGACATCACTGATCAAATCCAGCCCTGTGAGCGTACCTGCAAATAAAACTGACCCAGAGACGGGGCTGGTATCTATATTTTAAAATATGTTATTGTTGTTATTAAAATGTTATACAGAGAGGGGACCATTTCATATGTCAGGTATGAACACATTTCTTCCTTTGGACAATGTCACTTTTTCCCATTTGGTGTCTATATTTTTGACAAAAGAGAAATAGGAAGAGATGAAGGTGTTTAGGGATCAATCCTCACCTCATCTATTTTAATCTTGGAAAAAATATTACAAGGCCAGGCATAGTGACACATGCCTGCAAACTGGAGGCCAACTTGGGCTACATAGCAAAGCCGTGTCTCAAGAGACAACAAAAAAAAATCTTCCAAGATTATCAATTATTTAATTGACAACTCAGTAAGAGGAACTCAGTAAAGTACCAAATTTCAGATATCTCCAATTGTAGTGTGCCAAAATCTCTGACATGCATGGCTGAGGAGGAAAAAAAGATTTAGTTCTTCATATTCAAAACTTGTGTTTGTTTTTGTCACTGTGACAAAATACTTGGGAGAAAGAATTTTAAAGGTGGGGAAGTTTGGGCTGGGTTTCGGGGCTTCCATCCATAGTGGTGGGGAAGATGTGGCAGAGCACAACAGCTCATATCATGGCAGCAAAGAAGGAGAGGAGAGAAAGAACAAGGAGGGAAGAGAGAGGGAAGAAGCCACAGAGAGACAAGCATATGTCTGTACTAGCCAGCTTTTTCCTTTCTCTTTTTCTTCCATCCAGGCCCCTGATCTACAGTTAAGTTCCACCCACCCACATTCCCCTTAGATAATTGGCTCTGGAAATCTGATCACAGACACATTCATCTCCTACACACTTCTCAATCCAATCAAGTTTACAATCAAGATTAACTACACAGAAATAGTTGATTATTGTCATTCTAAGTAAATATAGTAAGAGAAGATACATTTTAAAAGATTATTTCACGCAGCCTTATCTTGTTAACGTTCACTTAAACTTACATTCCATTCTTACTGTCAGGGGTGACAATAGGAGCAGGATATAGCTTGGCCCAACTGAATGACATCTTACATTTCATTATTTCGGAGCAACCAAAGGAGAAGACCAAGACTCATCATGCTCTCCTGAAACACCTGAGGACTCTTGCAGGAGCCCAGATTAGGAATATGGCCGTGAGTTCCCCCAGCCGTGGATATGGACGGTCCTTCAGTTCTCTTTATTTAACAAATAACATTCTGAAGAGGAGTCCTAAGTTAATGCTGAAAAAGTCTCTGCACTATGAGTGTGTGTATGTATGTGTGTCTGTTGAAAGTGATAGGTGTGACATTGCATGTGTACATGTGTCCAAAGTGCCTTAACAAGACTATCATACGAGAAACAAAAGATTCCCAAATTGGAATCCATCATGTGTGAATTTTGTGATCCTAGAGAAGCCACTTCATCTCTTCAAAGCATTGCTTCTTGATTTTGGAAATTAAAGACTAACCAAACAGTGGACAGTCTCTAGGATCCAATCCAGCTCTAAGGGTCTTATGGGTGGCACAATTAACAAGAGCCCATGCTTCCTGATACTTCTCACAGCTTGGTTTCCTCTTAGACCCTTACACCAGAGTCAGTTACTAAGCATATTTCCTACACGTGCATTCTTGGAGTCCACCAGCTATTTAGTTGTCTAGCTTATTGAGGTTTCCTCACTACTTACCCATCCCATACAAGATGGATTTGCTATGGCTCCACTGGCAATACATTTCTCCTTGATTGTCTCTGGCATGTCTGCCAATCCTCACAGGTGTTCTCACTTTGTGAATCTTAAGACAATTTTCTGGTGGATCACATCTGTAATCCTAGCCTCTCAGGAGACTGAGATCTGAGGATTGCAGTTCAAAGCCAGCCTGGGCAGAAAAGTGCCCATGAGACTCTTATCTCCAATTTTTTTTAAAAAACTGGAAGTGACACTGTAGCTCAAGTATTAGAGTGCTAGCCTTGAGTACAAAGAGGCTCAGGAAGAGCACCCAGAGGCCCTGAGTTCAAGCCCCACAACTGACCAAAAAAATAAAGGAGAAAAGTTAAGATGATTTTCTGAATGACATACTCTTCTCAGTATCAACCGGTCCCCATAAATCCTCCAAAAATCCCTTGTTTGAGTCTATGTAAAGCATGGAGATATATGGCCACAGAAAACCATCTTATTTCGCCCCAGCACTGCACCATTCAAATGCACATGCCCTGGATCCCAGTTCTTTTGAGTTTCCTCTGGTTCAGGCTTACCACCTTCCCAGGAGGCTGGGAAATCTTCCTCACATTTGACTAAACTCTCTTCTCTTGCCCTAATCTGCTGTACCAGCCCCCAAATTCTTGTTCATTTCCCTTACTGTCTATCCTCATAATAAATATGTTTATCAAAAACAAATGCTTCCACACAAACACAAATGCCTATTAGCCTCAGTCCCCAAAAAATCATTAATCCTCCTTGTTGCATGTGGAAGAGAAATATTTCCTCCAGCTATAAACTGAGATAGGGTTAAGATTGGGAATCCAGCATACATCTATTTAGCTGTCTCCTCACAAAGTTACCAGATCTATCTGTAAAATAAAAAAGAGAATGACAAACTTATATAAGTATCTTTATATATAGTATCTTGTCAAATAAATAAATGCAGCTTTTTAATGTCATTTTCTTTTAGACTTTAGGAGGACATGTGGTGAGTCGGCCTAATTTTTCTGACCTAAATCCCATTTTAGCAGCAGGAAATGCAATCATCAATCTGGTATCTAAAGGTAAGAGACCAAGTTCTAGGCATTCTATCTCACACTTACCACTATCAGTTAAGTGACTTCTGCTGTAAATTATGAACTAGGACCCACAAGTATCTACCTTAGTGTTGTAGGCTATAATTGCATCATCCCAGACCTATGGGAGAAGTTGATCAACCATCCTGCTCTCCAGGTGTTCTACATTATTGATCATATACTTCATTGTGTCTAACATGTTCTTAAGTGTTTGACCCATGTATATTCAGCCCAACTTGTAATGTCAAAGCACTTGAAAACAATTAATGAGAGGTCTCTCTGTAACTTGACTTGATGGTATAGCTGGGCACCAGTGGCTCACATCTATAATCCTAGGTACACAGGAGGCTGAGATCTGAGAATCACAGCTCCAAGCCAACCCAGGCAGAAAAATCCATGAAACTCTTACTTCAATTAGCTACCAAAAAAAAAAAAAAAAAGCCAAAATGGAACTGTGGCTCAAGTGGTAGAGTGCTAACCTAGAGTAAAAAAAAACAAACACTCAGGACAGCACCTAAGCCCTGAGTTCAAGCCCCAAGACAGGCACAAGCAAAAATGTTATGGTATATTTATGCCACAGTTTCCTAAAGATGGCAATTTTTCAGACAGAATTTCTTACAACTAAATCAAATTTGTGGGACATTGCAGAAGGCTGTTTCCAGTAACTTTATTCATCTTTAAGCCCCAATTTATAAGTGACATATAATCAACTATGAAAACCTGCTGAGACTTTTCAGCTAATCCGGCCCCACCCTGTCATTCTGCAGAGTATGACCCCAAAGCTCTGGGGACTTGCCTCATGTGACCCACGCTGGGAGCTGGCACCCTGCCCTCTCTCCTGGCTCCCCACCTATATGCCCTCTCACCACCTGATACAGGGGACACTTGTACCATGTTCTGTGGTTTGGTAAGCCTGTCCTAATCTATTTCCTCTGCAGAAGGAGAACGGCAGATTCCTTTAAATGGCCCTTTCCTTGAGAGATCACCTGAGGCCAACCTGAGACCAGGCGAGGTGGTTTTGTCCATTTTTATTCCTCACTCTTCTCAGGTGAGATTCCCAGACCCGCCTCCCAGCTGAGGAAGTCACACACAGCCTTTGAGAAGAAATGTCCCCAACTCTATTCCTAAGTAATTGCTTCAGGTACCACTCCGGGCTACTCCCAAGGAGGGACAAATCCCCAGACAACCATTTGATTTGCTTTCATATCAGGATAATTCCAAAGTCAACTAATATTTATTAACCAAGTAATTGAAACAAGATTATTTATATCCTAGGCTGGTGGCTCACACTTATATTCCTAGCTACTCAGAAAGCTAAGATCAAGAGGATCAAGGTTCAAAGTTTTCTGGGGCAGAAAAGTCCTCAAGATTCCATCACTAATTCACCAGCAAAAAGCCAGGCTAGAGGCATGGCTCAATGGAACACCAGCTATGAGCAAATAAGCCAAGCAAACAAGTCAGTATGAGCAAGCAAGTATGAGGCCAAGGTTAAATCTGGTACTAGGGGAAAATAATATTTCTGTATTTACCATCTACCTACCACTCTAGCTCATGGTACAGTGTTATATCTGGAATACTCTACAGAAAGCTAATGTATGTTACTAAAACTATTTTTAAACGGTTATTAATGCCTGGTATCCTGTCCACCTAGCTCTCTAAATATAACAGGAAGGGCTTGAAATAGGAAACAAAATTTAATCACCTCGAAGAAGAAATGGCTGGGTAAAGAACTGGAGTAGTTCTGGACTAGAAGGTCCAGTGGTAGCACGAAACTCTGTCTTGGAGTGGTGAAAGGCATGTTGCAGCAAGGGGGTCCAGCATTGAAGGGGACAGCCTCTGAGTCTGTGGAGAGAACTGGGTGGCCTTCCAGGCAGGATGACTGCATGGTGTGACCAGAGAGCAGATGAGGGCAGCCGAAGCAGCCAGGTGCAATGGAGCCGGCAGCGTGGCTGTCTCCCCCACCAAGCATAAGTGCAACCACTATGAGGAGTTTGTTTTGCCTTTTAGCAGATGGCCACCATTTTAGGCTTCAAACAAATCCAAATCTAAATGAAGGAGGTGCTGTAAAAATATTGATCTTATAGACAAATAAAATATATTTATTAGGATAGACTGATGGCCAATGCATCAATTCAGGCAGGAGACAGTAATAAACCTGGCGGGAGCAGGAAAGTCTCCACTGAACAGTGCAGCAAATGACTCAAGTGTTTCAAATGCTTCTTATCGTTAGTGTTTCCTCTATCAAAAATGGTCATGCTCAGTAGGGCCTAGCTGGTTGGACTGACTCTCTGTCCCACCCCCACCACCATGATGACCACAAGCCAGTATTCAAGGCTCTATGTTTGTTAACAAGAGTCCACCTAGAACAGCAGATACAAGTATGGTTGTGGTAGATCTTAAAAAGCACCTCATCTCCTACTCTTTCTTTCACCCCACTCCGCAATCTGATCCAACCCAAGCTCTTATTTTTAAAGAAAATGAAGACTCAAAGAGTTCAAGTCATGTATCTGAGGCCGTAGGTGGTGACTCCAAGCTGAAAGGCCATGAGTGTGAGGCTCGACTCTGGAACCAGACAGCTTGGGTTTGAACCCCAGCTCAGCCAGACTTTGTGGTGAACCTTATGCAAGTTACTACTATGTTTTCTCACTGGAGACTTGGAAATGAGTAGAACTGCTGAGATTAAATTGAGAGTACATTGGACAATACTGCCATTCAAACAACAGTCAATGGCTTATAATATCGCCAAAATCATTGACAGGATCTTTTTTTTCGTTAAAAGTATTCATCAGAGTTGCTGCTGTATGATAGCAGATAGCAGAGATAAACACTAAGTATTCTGTTTCCTGTCTACAGTGGCACTTTGTGTCAGGGCTCCGGATGGCTCAGCGTCAGGAAAACGCGTTTGCCATAGTCAATGCTGGCATGAGTGTGAAGTTTGAAGATGGCACAAACATCATCAAAGACCTTCAAATGTTCTATGGAAATGTGGGCCCCACCGTTGTCTCTGCAAGTCACACCTGCAGGCAGCTCATTAAAAGGTATGTCATAGCAGTCTGGGCCACAAAACAGACCCTTATGCTTTTTAATTCTTCCAGAAAATTATTCTTACAATTTTCTGCTAGTTTTTGGAAATACGTACATTTACTCTGGGTACTGGTAGCTCACGCCTGGAATCCTACCTACTCAGGAGGCTGAAATCTGAGGATGACAGTTTGAAGCCAGTCGGGACAGGAAAAATCAGTGAGACTCTTATCTCAAATTAACCACAAGAAAACCAGAAATAACACTGGTTGAAGTAGTAGAACACTATCCTTGAATGGAAAAGCTCAAGGACAGTGCCCAGGCTCTGAGTTGAAGCCCTAGGACCAACATACAAAAAAGAAAAGAAAAAAGAAACATGTATATCTATCCACAAAATTTAGGCACTGCAGATATAGAAGTGTATGTATGTATATACACATACAACATATACATGCAACATATATGTGTATATATGTATATATACACACACGTGTGTGTATATATAAGCTCTCCAAAAGCCAATCCCTTCAAGATACAATGACTGGTTTTTCATAGGCTTTCATAGTAAGATTATTGTGTAAACTTCATGGCTTGAGTAGATCTTACTTTTAAGTAATTATCTTGAAATGTAATTGAATGTCTCCCACATCGAGTCTTGCGAATGAAGAAATCTGAAATGTCCTTTTAATGAAGATGACATAGTCAAAAGACGGCAGAGCCTTCCTCCTGTCTCTCTTGTTACCTGAAGCATTAGAGGAGTATATATTTTAAAAATTCTTTCAGCTGGAGATGCTATCTTAATTTTACTTGCCCATCTATGCTCATTATCTGGAACTTAGTGCAAGTTTTACCTCCAATGCTGAAATAAAACCAAGCTTTCCATAAAAGTTATGAAGAAACTTTCATTTGTGTAATGTTTTACAACTATCTGCGATAACTTGGTCATTGGCCAAATTGGGGGTGGAGGGGGGAGGAGGCACACATGTTGTGTTGAGATAAAGCAAGCAACCAAATAGTAAAAGTTCCACATCTCAGAAAGCTTTGATTTTTAGTACTTTTTTAATTGGATTGGGAGATTTGTTTGTTTTAAACCCAAGGTATTTCAGTTAAGTTCACATTCCTAACTCATTATATTACACACAATAATAAAAGTGCACTCAGTAAAGAACGTTTGGGAGCCACTATATCATACACTAAAGAAAACAAATTAAATACATGAAGGTCTTTTGGTTAGACTTCAAAAGTGACTATGGTTGTAACCCATCTTTCCTTACCCCACTAGTTTAGTATCTTAGTATACTTTCTGCTACTGTAACGAAATACCCAAGAGTGGATAATGTATAAGATGTTTTATTTTGGCTCATGATTCTGGACATTGGAAACTCAAGCGCATGCTTTCAGCAAAGGCCTCTTTGGTGGCAGAGCATAGCTATGTTTCAGCCTATGGAAAAAGTGGAAGGACAAACAGACATTTGCAGAAGACAGAGGACAAAAGGTGCCACCTTGTTCCTAAACACCCTGCTCCAAATAATACAACCCTGGGGAATTATAGTCAGTCTTTTTTATAGATTTCACCACCTTTTTAAGGCCTACCTCCCAACTACTTGAATGGCAATAGCATTTCTACCTGAGAGGACAGTCTATCATACACAGTAAAATTCTCTCATTCTCCCCTACCAGGCAATGGGATGACCAAATGCTGAGTGATGCATGTCGATGGGTCCTGGAGGAGATTCAGATTCCACCCACAGCCAAAGGTGGCATGGTGGAGTTCCGGAGGACCCTCATCATCAGCTTACTCTTCAAATTCTACCTCCAAGTGCGTCAAGGACTGAATGAAATGGTAATGTCTTTGCTGAGTGTCTGGGTGCCTTGACATTATGACCATGAGTCTGCACAGGATGAATGTTTCCAGCCTGGTTTGGATAATACATTGAGTGTACATGGGATAGAGTCTCAGCTTGGAGATTCCCAGCCTCCAGCAACTCCTTCTAGCCCTGCGGGGTTCTTTATTTCCCTCTTCTTCAGTCCTGGGAACAGAAGCAGAGAGCTTTGTCTTTCCATTTGCTTTATAATTTGTGAGACAAACACTAGAATGCAATATAAGTTTGATCAAGCATAAGGGGGAAAAGCCATTAATATTGTAAATTATATATTTTCCTATTTTAAACATTTTTCTTATCAAAATAGTAGTTTCATACTTAGAAAATGTGAATTGGGCCCCAAAGGAAGGGAATGGTCACTTGTATTCTCACCGCTCATAACCAACCACTACTAATATTTTGGTATGCAGCCTTCTAAGCTTTTCCTTATAGACATGTTCATATGTGTTTATTATATTCATAACTGCTTAAGATTGTACCCATCTGTCAATGCCCTTCAGACATAAAGGCCTCATGGCCTATTTATGGAAAGCTGTACCACCATTTGATAGATTATTTTTAAACATTTAAATTATTTCCAGTCTTCTGCTAACTATATTTTTCTTGCCTAGCCTAAAGGAAAATCTCTTCCACAGAATGTTTCTTTAGAATATAGTCCATGCCTATGAGTTCCTTGGGTAAACTTAATCCATAAACTGAACCAAGTATAGCAGACTGTGCATGCATGTTTATTTAATGACTGAGAGCTTTGTTCTGCAATCTCAGCCAGACTTCTTCATTATTTTAGTAACATTATTTATTTTCATTGCTATTATTTTATTCAATTATATACTATCATATATCTCATTTTGTACTGTGTAGCACATTTGTAATATAAATATAGAATCAGATGTAACATAATCCATTAACTATCTTTTTATTGTATGTGTTATAATATTATAATTGTCTTATGTAATATAGATCCTATATTACATATTCTATTATTATAGAAGAATTCAAAACAGAAGCAAAAGAGTTTTAAATCAATTATAACCCAGTAATCATACTCTAATAACTATTAGCATTTTGAACTATATACTTATGTACTTTTTAATATTTATATAAATATATATTTCTTATAAAATGTAATCTTTATCATCTAGCTATATTCCATGTATGAGTGTATGGAAAATGTACATATAAATACACACACACACATATATATATACATACATATATTGGGAGGGTGGTGCTGTTGATTGAACTCAAGGCCTCGTGTTTGCCTGGCAAACACTACCACTTAAGCCATACCCCAGTCCAAACTGAACTATATTTTTTCAGTGTTCATAAATATCCTTCTATAAAATAATTTTTATGATTGAAGAATTTTGCTTCTAAATGTATCATAATTAAACCATTTCCCTATGGTTAACTTTTTAGTTTAATTCTGTTTTATTCACTGTTATAAATGACCTGCAGTCAAATACACTTATTTCTTATACTTATAAATGATTTCTACTCCCTCAGTTGTTTTCTTTGAGACATGTGCCAGAAGATAGGCCTGGGTTGGAAAGCGTAGTCTCTGTTTAGAAATGCACATATTTACATTCATCCAAAACCAGAGCTTGCTAAGAAGGGAAGGCTTCACATCCTGGAAATATCTTTTTCATTTTCTGTGTATACAAATGGACGTCATCACTATGCTTCAAACAGCTGCTATCTAGTCTAGGGAACTTAAGGCTCAAGGCCTTACCATCTTAGAGAACAGATTGGAGACTAGATTGGATAACCCTATTTCTACATAATTTTCCAAGCTGGCAGCTCAGGTTGTAAAATTAAACATGACGTAATATCTTCTTTTCAGGATCCTTACAAATTCCCAGATATCCCAGAAAAGTTCGTGAGTGCTCTAGAAGATTTTCCCATAGAAACACCCAAAGGAATTCAGATGTTCCAGGTCAGTGGGTAGTTTTTGGTTTTTTAATCTCTTTGCATTAAGATATTTACATGTACGTGTCGCTTTCTTTTCATTAACTATGTATTACTAGTAAAAGTAAAGTCTATTAAAAAAAAGTGTTACCGGGCTGGGAAGGTGGCTCAGTGGTAGAGTGCTTGCCTTGCATCCATGAGGCCCTGGGTTTGATTCCTCAGCACCACATAAGCAAAAAAAAAAAGAAAAGCTGGAAGTGGTGCTGTGGCTCAAGTGGTAGAGCATTAGCCTTGAGCTGAAGAGCTGAGGGACAGTGCCCAGACCCAGAGTTCAGGCACCATGACTGGCAAAAAAAAAAAAAAAAAAAGTGTTACCTATTATAGACAATTCCCTTAGTTTATCTCCTTTGCTTTTTAGTCAAGGCTACACAAAGAACTAGACCTCTGAATCTCTCTTCTCTACTTTTTTTTAGTTGTATAGCCTAAATTTTTTCCTTTTCTTGGACAATGTCCTTCCTTTAAATCTGAATCAACTTCTCTGCCCTTGGGAAGGATTCATTGCTTGCTTCTAAGAGCTTCCCCAGGATCTAGCGTATTTCCACTGATTTCTATCAATTATGTAAAGAAAAATAAATGATTCTTTATTGTTATCTAACACATTAATATGTGTTTATATGTTCTAGTTCCTCAGAGAGACTGCAATCCTTGACAGCAGAAACCACACCTTCTACTTTTTTCTTTTCCTAGGGTGAAATGCATTGAAACCATGATCTATCCCCTCCCTTAGTGTTCAAGGAATATTTAGTAACCTTGGCTCACAGATACAAACATCCAATTACCTAAACTTAGTCTTGCCTTGCGAATAAGCTACATATAGCAGATCCCAACTTTTAGAGCATGAGAACTTCTGGTGAAAAACTTCTTTTGTTCATTAACAGTGTGTGGATCCTCACCAATCCCCACAAGACCCAGTTGGACATCCAGTCATGCACCAGTCAGCCATTAAACACACCACAGGGGAAGCTGTGTTTGTTGATGACATTCCGCCCATCAACCAAGAACTCTTCCTTGCAGTGGTCACCAGCACCAAGGCTCATGCGAAGATCTTGTAAGGAACTAAGTGATATGCCTGTGTTACTGAGATGCATTCTGATTGAGAGCTAATTACATACTTGTCTATTTACAATAGTTGACTCCTCTTCTGAAGGAGAATCATTTTGTAAACACACTTAAAAAGATTTTATTGCCTGGGCCCTGGTGGTTCACATCTGTGATCCTAGCTACTCAGGCTACTGAGATCTGAGAATGAAGGTTCAAAGCCAACCTGAGCTAACAAATCTAAGAGATTTTTATCTCCAGTAAACTGGAAAAACTCTGGAAGTCGAGTGCTAGAGAAGCAACCTTGAAGAAAAAAGCCAAACAAGAGTGAGAACACAAGGTCCTGAGTTCAAGTCTTAGTACCAAAAAGAGTATGTCCAAGAGTTAGAACACCTGATAAATACCAATTTTTTTTTATCAGAATAGACTATGTTTGGTTATGGAACCCACTGACTTGATCTATGATTTGATTATAGAGCCCATTTAAAGAAAATTGCACAGAGGCTTTACCCCGACAACTTTAATGCTTGCCTCCATATTTTCCCTCCTAGATCAATTGATACTTCAGAAGCCATGTCACTTCCTGGTGTGGTTGATGTAATCATGGCAGAGGATGTCCCAGGGGATAATAACCATAATGGGGAGATTTTATATGCACAGCATGAGGTATGGGATAAGCAGATGGCTTATTATTTCAATGTTTTGTTTAACCCAATTATCAGTTATGACCATGACATCCAGCTTCACTTTCAGACCACAGAAACTTACTAGAAGCCGATGACTCTGAGTGATTTTCCACTCCCCTTTGACATCATGGATCCCCTTGAGATTCTGATAAAAAGCCATCATAAGTTCTCTCAAGGAAGTCCTCCAAGTAGCTGAGAAAGCCTGAGAATCAGTGCAAAGCATGAAACACTGAAAGAAAAGCAGAATGCTAGGTGGACTGGATCATGGCTTGTGCCGTGAGAATGACGAGTACAGGCAGAGGCAGCAGAAGGCCGATCAGTAAAGTCAGATAACCAAGCTGTGTCTCTCTGACATTTGTGTCCCTCGAGTCCCTACTCACACCCCATCTTAACTCTATTTTCATAAGTAGAAAATAGTATTCTCTGGAGCCACAAAAGCCCAGTAGGTTAAATTTAGGATGGAGTAGTCATAAGTCCTTCTTGATGATTCTATGGTTTAGCTAATTGACAACATGTGGCCTCTCCACAGGTAATCTGCGTAGGTCAGATCATCTGCACTGTGGCTGCCGATACTTATGCACATGCGAAAGAGGCAGCCAAAAAAGTGAAGATTGCTTATCAAGACATAGAGCCGAAGATCATTACCATAGAGGTAATCAGACCACTTCGCATTCACCAGGAATTGGATGGTGTGCATTGGCAAAATTTAACCAGGAGGTCATGAAATTATTCAAGTCAGGCTCCATCTTCACTTCCTCCAGTGTCTCGCTTTGAGAGTATAGCTTTCAGTAATCTATATGTCATTGTCATGAAGTACACTGAGATCTTTACTACCGAACACCCTTCTTCTCAGCAAAGCCTTTTCTGGGACTTGGGGGAATGAAATATTCTGAGTCTATTTACCTTGAGAGATCTTGCAAAGCCAGGCAAAAAAGATCAGTAATCCCAGAGAAATGTCTTCATGACATCATATAAACAATGAGTGGGAAAGCCTAGCGCACTGCCTGTAAAACTTATAAAAGTTGTATCAATGCAGGAACCAATGGCTCACGTCTGTAATCCTAACTATTCAGGAGGCTGAGATCTAAGGATCACAGTTTGAACCAGACACTGCAGGAAAGTCCATGAAACTTATCTTCGATTAACCACCAGAACACCACAAGTGCTGCTGTGGCTCAAAGTGGTGGAGTACTAGTCTTGAGCAAAAAAGCTCAGGGACAGTGCCCAGGCTCTGAACCATGATCCTCAGCCTCAGTCTCCTTTATAGCTAGGATTACAGGCATGAGCCACCGGCACCGGGCTTATCTACTGTTTCTTAATAGAAAACCTCCACTCCAGCTAGCCTGGCCTTGTCCTCATTTTATCTCTCACTGTGTTTTACCCTCAAACTATTACTTTTGTCCTATTATTGTTGTTGTTGTTATCTTTAAGTAGTAATACAAAGGAGTTGCCATTTAACAGAGCAATTTATGGATACAATATTATATCTTGATTAGTGTCATCCCTTTCAACATTCTCACTCATCCCTCCCCTACCCACTCCTTCACTCACTCTTCTTAATTTTAAGGTTATACATTGGATATGAATTTTCCCCCTCTTTATTCATCTGTCCTTTTCCCCTTGACCCCAAAACTATTATTTTATGATGTGCCCTTGGCTTGAAATGATTCAGGATCTGGTTAGGGTAGCCAATTCCTGGCCATTTCTTGGCATTCCAAGCCCCACCAAACTCCTTCTTAACTTGTCTTTACTGTATCACACACATTCCTCACCTCACATGCCTCAGTAACAAAGCGCCTCAGATAATCACTCAGAAATCTAGAGGCAGGGCTGTGTTTGTTCTTATGTCTACCTCAGCCTTGAACAAAATGCCACCAATGGCTGCCACCAATGACTGCAATCCACTTGAATCTGCCTTCTTCCCATTCCTTACATTGATTTAGGATGTGACTGACTTTGAGCTCAGATAGAACAGGAACGTGGGATTACAATAGAGGGACACATATCTTATTAGAATGAAAAAAAAATAATGATTTGTTGTGGTTTTTTTCTTCCACTATAGCAAGCCCTAGAGCATAATTCCTTTCTATCTGTTGAGAGAAAAATTGAGCAAGGAGATGTAGAGGGTGCATTTAAACATGTGGATCAAATCGTTGAAGGTAAGAACAAGTCTTGAGCCAGAAAAAAAAAGGAAGCTTTCTCAAGCCAAAGGCTCTAAGGTTAGTCATCAAGCTTGAAAAAAAATGAGGTAAGGCAGTGCTTCTCTATCCTAATATGACTGCTAAATAGCAATTGAAAATGCACAATAAGTTTACAGCTTTATGAATTTGGGCATATGCATCAGCCTATGTAAAATACAGCTGCCATTGAGGTATAGAACATTTCCAGCACTTAGAAATCCTTCTTGCATTCTCTAACTGTGCAAAGCAATGTTCTTACTTTTCTTATTGTGGATTGGTTTGACAAACTTTGAACTCACGTAAGTGATTTCTCTAGTGGCTATTTCTTTTATTTGGCATTATGGGTGGAAGATTCATCCATGTTCTTACATAGATAAATAGTTCTTTTTTATTGTTTGGTAATATTTCACGATACAAATATTCCATAATTTAGATATCCATTCTACTGTTGATAGACACTGAGTTGTTTTAATGATCCCTATTACTTCAGTGAAAATAACATATCTGTAAAGAAATATATCCAGAAGTTAATTGCCAAGTAATAACATATTTATATGGTTAGCTTTAGTATTCAGTGCTACTATTTTGTGTGTGTATGTGCCAATCCTGGGGCTTGAACTCAAAGCATGGGCACTGAGCCTGAGTATATTTTGCTCCACTTGAGCCACAGTTCTACTTCCAGCTTTTTAGTAGGTTTTATTGGAGATGATATTCTTTTTAAATTTTGTATTGTTATTGTAAAGGTGATATACAGAGGAGTTATAGTTACATAGGTCAGATAAAGAATACATTTCTTTTTCCCAGTTCTTCCCTCCCATCCCCACTCACAAGATGTATAGTTCATTTTCAAGTACATTGCTGTGTTGTTTGTTCCCCCTTTTTCCCTCCATTTCTGTGCCTCCCCTTACACTCTCAAAGACATATAAATGAACAAACAGAACAAAAAGAAAGGAAAACAAAAGCATCAAAAAAGAACAAACCACCTGTTTCCATTTCCAGGAATTCATTTCGATAAATATTATTTTGTCTGATCGGATGCATGTAGGCATTATGTCTTTCTGTTCCTCTCCTAAGAGTATCTTCCTTTCATCCCACTATATGTGACTGCCTAGAGACCTGTATAAGTTATTATGTCCCGATGTATTTTAGATGTGGCTTCCACATATGAGAGAAAACATGCATCATTTGTGGAGATAAGATTCTTGTAGACTTTCCTGCCTGGGCTAGCTTTGAACTGCAGTCCTCAGATCTCACTCTCCTGAGTAACTAGGATTACAGGTGTGAGACACTGTCACCCAGCTGTTTCATATTTTTATAGGTAAAAATTGATTATAATCAATAATATAATTGTATAATATAGACATATAATGAATATTAGTGCAATTAATCATATAAATATTTAGCTGATCTATTTGTTGATTTATAGATTTTTTTAAACCCTAGCCTGGGCTTTGAAGCACAATGGTGTGTTCTCTGTTTATATTCTTATCCAAAGGGTGACATATTGACAAGATGCCATTTGAGATTTTGACCAATGTGGAAGTTCAGAATTTAGCACAGTGGGAAATCTGAAACACGAAGGAATCTTGGCAGCAATGACCACAGTCATTGTGGACAGGAAGTGAAATCCAGTGGCTAAGACTTAGGTGGCCTGTGTATGAAGCCCAGCTCTACAGGTTACTATGTGGATGACCTTGGGCTGCTTAGTTAACCTTTTCCATGTCTCATGAGACGTGGCATCAGGACAAAACAAACTAATTGACCTTGAAGTGCTTAGCCTTAGAAAATACCCAGTAGTTTATAATCTTATTGAAGTGTAAAATAAGTAAATTGAATTTAATACATGCTACTGTAGTGTAATGCTTTTATTGAGAAAGCAAACTGAGAAAAAAGGGCCACCTTTCTTTCTGTATCTTTAAAGGATCTGTGTGCAGATGTCTCCCTCCCGTCTCTCACGTCAGGAAGAACAGAATAAGAGACAGTCAGAGATTCTTATCAGCCTGGCAATGGCACTGAAAGGAAGCTGCATAACAAATCTTGCTAAAACAACTCTTATCTCCCATAAGTTTCCCCCATATATTTATCTTCCTGAATTTTACCACCTATCCAAAGGGATCAAACCCATTTCATTTACCTTGTCACTTCTCTAAATAGGCTTTTGTTGAGATGCTGTATGTGCTTCAGCTTAGACTACCGCTTACGGATTTTATGTCATTTCTGTGAGCGCTTACCCCAAAATGTATGAAATAAAAACCTTTCTCCTGTTTGAAAAAGAAAATCCTTCAGGAAATGGAAACAAGAGGTGTTTTATTTTCCTTTGCTGCTTTTGTTTTCTTTTCTTTTTGTCTTGTTTGTTAGTTTATCTGTCTTTTGGAGGGACAAAGGGTGAGCAAATGCAGCAGTGGTCTCACTAGACACTCTGTTGATAATGAACTACAACTCGTGGGTGGGATAGGGAGGGAAAAACTGGGAGAGAGCCAGGGAAGGGGTGACATTGCCCAAAAGAAATGTACTCTTTACCTGACTTAAGTAACTCTAACCCTTCTGTACATCACCTTTAATAATAACAATTAAATAGCTAACTAAATGAAGAAATGTTTAAGTAAGCTAAGCAAATCCTAACTACTTAGGAAGCTTAGACTAGAAGATGGTATCTGAAAGCCAGCCCGTGCATAAAAGACTCCAAGACTCCATCCCCAAGTAACCAGAAAAATACTGGGCTGGGGACATGGCTCAAGTGGCAGAGCACCAACTGTGAGCAAGTAAACTGAGCTAGAGTGAGACCCTGAGTTCAAGCCCCGATAGCCACACAAAAATTAAATTCAAGCTTAAATTCACTCTGTGCATTTGTGTAAATAGACCGAGGTGGGGGCCTGAGTCACATTTTGTTGTCCCTATAAATAATTTTAAATAATTTTTGACTTGTAGCAAAACAATTGGTTTATTTTAATGGAATATGCGTCTTTCCGATGATGTGCAGGTAACCAGGTGCAAGTAAAAATACTGTCTTTTAAGAATTAAACCAAGGTAAAATGCCTCTTTTAGTGTATCCTACAAAATGGTAAAAAGATACTGAACAAGGCCAGAAGAGTAGGCTGCTATTAAGGTCAAGATCAACCTCAGCTCGGCCGCTTTAAACTGTTATGTCTGTGAGCAAGTTACTTATTCCTTCTGTCTCATTCATGGTCAGTATCTCCAAATTGAGGTAGACATGACAATTCTCTACCCCGTTTTACAGTTGTAGACACAACCTGGTCAGATTCACTAAGTGGAGGTGGCTGAGCCTGCACATGTAGCCAGATTATCTGTTCTCTCAAGTTCAGCAAAGCACAAGTCTATTCACTGTACAGAAAAGGAAATGAGGCCAACACAAGACAAGGGGGGGGAGCCTGGCAGAGCACAGACAGGATTAGAAGAAAAATGTTATAAAGTCGGTCCATAAACTAAAAGAACTCCCTCTTCACACACAAAGCGCTGCCGCCGGAAGTCCTGCATTGGGACCTCAACTAAGCAGTTCCCTTTGTTTGTTCTTTACAGGTGAGGTGCATGTAGAGGGACAGGAACATTTCTACATGGAAACACAAACTATCCTGGTTATCCCCAAAGCAGAAGACAAAGAAATGGTATTACACCTTGGGACTCAGTTTCCAACCCATGTGCAGGTAACCAGATGTTTGGGGAAATGAGATGACGGGTGGTCATGTGTTGGGATTTCTGCATTCCTGTGCCTTGAACTCCCTTCACGTTTGACTGACATTAGCTGAAGACCAGCATGGACAAAATGATTCAGTAATGAAAAGGCCTTTCCAAGTGACCTAGAAGTGTTGCTACTTTCTAAGACACAATACAAAGCTCATCTTTCTCTTATAACAATTGATAGCATAAAACTGAAAGCCTTTGGTTTCTCTTTGTGGTTCATTTGTATTGTTATTCTCTATGACTGTCCTTCTATATGGTGGTGTATGTATACAGCAACTGCATTTCAAAGACATCCTCAGCCTGGCTCAGTCATGAGGATTCTCTATTTGCTAGTGCTTCAGAGTTGCAGTTGCACCTAGGCCAGTGAAGGAAATCCACTCTCATTGGCCCTGGAAGGATGCCAAGCACTTGGGGGTTGTTTAATAATTATACCAAGGAGGGTAATGGTGACAGGCACCACTGAAGAGGAACGCTTTACCCGAGCTTTAAGCAGACACCACGAGATGCTGAAGGGAAGCTACCAGCTGCCTTTCAGGACAAAATGCAAGGCTGAGGTGGCTGATTCAAAGCTGGGATACAGGTGAAGCCTTCATCTGCACACATACTGAAGTAGTCAGAGGAGGAGCGAAGAGAGAAGAACTGTTAGATTAAGCAGTTGTGTGGTTTCTTGCGAGTTACTGAGCATTGAAATCATTTTCTGTCAATTGAAGGAGCGATAAAGAAGACCTGTAAGGATCCTTTTGGCAGAGGGTTTGTGGATCTGGGCTCCAAAAGATAAGATATATGTGCCCAAGTCCCCATTGCTACCTGCCCCCACCATCTTCTGAGGTACAGTCAGCTCTATGCAAGAGCAGGCATTTTCCAGGGGTTAGTGGAAGAAGCTGGGTACCCACAGGCTGCCATATGCCAGAACCTAGGACAGCATGGAAAACAATTCCACTAAAGGATTGAGTAGACATTACTCCAAAGAAGAAATACAAATGACTAATAAAGCAAGTGATAATATGTTCACTATCATCCATCACCCAGGAAATGCAACTCAAAACCAAGGTGAAGCTGGGTGCCAGTGGCTCACACCTGCCATCCTAGCTACTTAGGAGGCTGAGATTTGAAGATCCAGCCTGAGCAGGAAAGTAGAAGTAGAACTGTGGCTCAAGTGATAGAATGCTAGTATTGAGCAATAAAGCTCAGGGACAGCGCCCCGGCCCTAAGTTCAAACCCAGAGACTGGCACACACACACAAAAAAAATCAAATTTTAAAGAATAGTCACATATGCTACAACATGGATGACCCTTGAAAATATGCTAAGTGAACAGAGCCAGACACAAGGATAACATATTTTATCATTCCATCCATATGATTTGTCTAGAACAAGCAGATCAATAGAGACACAGGGTAGATTCAGGCTTGCCAAGTACTGGGAGGCTGAGAAGGGAGAGAAGCCTTTGCTTCATAAGTGCAAGGCTTCTTTAGGGGATGTTAAAAATGTTCTAAAATTAGGTTTTAGATTATTGGTCTACTGAGTTTCTTTTCCTGGGCAAATGGGAAAGCAAGTCAGCTAAGAGCTTACACTGACACAGCTTTGGTGACTTCCCTGTGTTAGGAATTCGTGTCTGCAGCACTGAAGGTCCCCAGGAGTAGAATCGCCTGCCACATGAAAAGAGCTGGAGGAGCATTTGGGGGAAAAGTGACAAAGCCCGCCCTGCTGGGAGCTGTCAGTGCCGTGGCTGCCCACAAGTAAGAGTCACAATGGCCACTGACATGTCAGTAGATTGAGCAGCACAGATGTCATGTGAGTGCCCGCAGCCCCGCATCCCACCTTTCATCTCAGTCTTCCATCCAGCTCCAGTGGGCTGTGTGGAAGGAAGGCCAAAGCCTCAGCCTCTCCTAGACAATGATACTATGTTTTGAAATAAACCAGGGACTCTGCTGCTCCCTGACTCTGATTCCCTTGCTTCCTCCTCACCCAGGAAGGACGTCTAGATGCTAGCGTGGTCATGACTGGTGAACTTCATAACTAAACTACCAAAGTGCACTAAGGAGCACTGAGGGCAAGCTTACCTTTGCCCAGACTACTGCAGCACAAAGGAAAAGCTGTATACACCTGAGCTCATAGATACTTGCTAGCAATAGAAAAAGCTGCCCTATAGGCAGCTGTTTTGCAAAGGCTGAGAACATTTCATCAGAGAGGTCTGAATGAAAGGGGTTGAGCTCAGCAGAGTATTGGGTCTCAACCTTTTAGCCCTAAGTCCCTGTTCTGCTGGGTACTGGTAGCTCATGCCTATAATTCTAGCTACTCAGTAGTCTAAGATCTGAAGATCACGGTTCAAAGTCAGCCCAGACAGAAAAGTCCATGAGACTTTTAGCTCCAATTAACCACCAAAATTCCAGAAGTAGAGACATGACTCAAGTGGTAGAGCTTCAGTCTTGAGTGAAACAGCCAAATATGAGAGAGAAGCCATGAGTTCAAGCTCCAGTACATGTGCACCTGCACACTCACACACAAGCACACACACACACACACACACACATACACATACAACAAAAAGATTCCCTTTCTGATACCATGTTAATGCTCCATCTACTCTTCCAAAGTAAAATTCAAAGTAAGAGACCCTATTTCTACTGCAAAATGACCATGAAACTCCTCAATGCAATGTAACAGTAAATTAAAAAGGAAATTATAACCAAATAATGTATCATCGCAATATGTAAATATTCAGGCATGACTAAACTAGAAAATTCATTTTTTTAACTTTAATGTCATGCAGCTTTCCAAAGGTAAAGGCATGAAAGCCACTAAGCCAAATGACTTCAGGTCCGCTTCTCCCAGCTCCATATTTGGACAATGTTATGAAGTATGTAGCATCCTAACAGAGTTGTTTCCCATAGAACTGGCCGCCCAATCCGCTTCATCCTAGAACGTGGTGATGACATGCTGATAACTGCTGGCCGCCACCCACTCCTGGGAAAATACAAAGTGAGTACTGCAAGCTAGAAGTTTAGCAAAGACAGTTGCTAAATGTCACACCTCTTCAATGGAGTGTTTGGATGCTGCCTAAAGCCAGGCAGAGTCTTCTGTTGGGCACTGTCCTCAGCGCTTCTCTATTGACTGTCACATCCAGACATATTCTTATGCTAAGTATTGGTTCGCAACCATAATCAGATGTGTGTGTGTGCACTGCACAGCCGACTACGCAGAACAACCGTTGAGAGCACTGTCTTCCCTGTGATCACTTGGCAGATCGGGTTCATGAACAATGGAGAGATCAAAGCTGCTGATGTCGAGTGCTACATCAATGGTGGATGCACTCCTGATGAATCAGACTTGGTAAATGAGTAATACGTCTTTTGCGGGCCTTACCCAGAGAGCTGTGCACCATCCTTTTACAAATTTGGTCATACGCTTTTATGAATTTTATCATATAGGTTAAAGAAGTGCTGTGAAGGGTTTTGGCTACATTTCAGCTATGTAGATTTGAATATCAGATGGAGGTGAAGCTTTGTTTTATTTTTGCTTTAATTCAGGTGATGCAGTTTATTGTGCTGAAATCTGAAAATTCCTACAGTATTCCTAATTTCCGCTGCCGAGGTAGGCCTTGCAAAACCAATTTGCCATCCAACACAGCCTTTCGAGGATTTGGCTTCCCTCAGGCAACGGTGATGGTAGAAGCTTATATAACTGCTGTGGCAGCACGGTGTAACTTACCCCCGGAAGAGGTAAACAGTCAGAATGCCCGGATGATCATCTGTTCACATAGCTTCAGCTCCTAACAGTGTTATATCAGCTTCCCTGTGGTTTCAAAGAAAAATTACATTGTCCATCATTAGCTTTTGTTGTAGTAGTGAAGTCAACCACAAAAACCTAGTAGTTTCAACAATAGTATCTCTTATGGGTCTGTGGGCCAGTTGGAGCATTCTTGTGGTCTGGGCTTGGTCAACTGGAACTTTCTGGTTTAAGATGGCTTTGCTGATGTGTCTGGTAGTTATCTGGCTGCTGGGGATACTTCAGCTGGAAAGAAATCTGTTTCACTGTGTCTCTCACCCTCCAGGAGGCTGGCCTGAAGTCCAGGAGGCTGGCCGAGAGAGTCATTATCATGATGAGGATCACAGATTCCTAAGAATGGCAAGAACGTGGCATGCCTAAATGCACAAGCAGTTTTCAAGTCTCCGTATTACTATGTAGGGTGGCATGGGCTAAGTCACAAAACTAATCACAGAATTAGTCTAAAACTATTCTAGTGTAGGAAGAGGGAGGAATAGTTGTAGCCATTGGTGCAAACATTTTACCACAATTCAAGACTGGAAAGCTAATTTGAGAACGTCTATGAAGAACAGAATTGTGAAGCTGTACATTAGCAGCTCATGCCTATAATCCTAGCTACTCAGGAGCAGGCTGAGATCTGAAGATCATAGTTGAAGGTCAGCCCCAGCAGAGAAGTTCATGAGACTCTTATCTCCAATTAAATAGTGAAAAGCCAAAAGTGGAGGTCATGTGGTAAAAGTAAGAGACCCTGAATTCAAGCCTTGGTACAGGCAAGGAAAGAAAGAAAGAAAGAAAGAAAGAAAGAAAGAAAGAAAGAAAGAAAGAAAGAAAGAAAGAAAGAAAGAAAGAAAGAAAGAAAGAAAGAAAGAAAGAAAGAAAGAAAGAAAGAAAGAAAGAAAGAAAGGAAAGAAAGAAAAGAAAGAAAGAAATGAAGGAAGGAAGGAAGGAAGAAAGGAAGGAAGGAAGGAAGGAAGGAAGGAAGGAAGGAATCTTGAATTCAGAGAACTTTGTCTTACCATTATTAGAGTTAATAATCACTCCTGATAGCTCTGCAGCTTCTTGTTAATTAAAATAAACACACTTCATCTATAGAATGTACAAAGTATTTAGTAGTGGTTTCTATTGCTATTCTGTTATAATTTCATTGTTAGACACGTCCACTTGTGCTGGCATATTTGTGGCCATCTGAATAGCTGCTTCTTTCTTTAGAAAAGTTTCTCAATATCAAACATTAAACAAAAATACATGCTTCATATGCATCCATCCTTAAAAAAATCATTTTTATTTTCTACCTTTCAGGTCAGAGAAATAAACATGTATAAGGAAACTAGCAAAACAGCCTACAATCAGACATTTAATCCAGAGCCCCTGAGAAGATGCTGGAAAGATTGCCTGGAGAAATCTTCATTTTATGTTAGGAAACAGGCTGCAGAGGAATTTAACAAGAAGAATTACTGGAAGAAGAGGGGGCTTGCTGTCATTCCCATGAAGTATACCATTGGGGTTCCTATGGCCTTCTATAATCAGGTGAGGTGGGGAGATATGTCTCCTCTCAACAGCTCGTTTCCAAATGGCTGATTCTCTGATCAAAAACAAGCATGGGCTAGAGGTATAGATCAGTGGTACAGCATGTATAAGGTCCTAGGTTCCATCCCCAACACGAAAGAAAGAAAGAGAGAAAGAGAGGAAGGAAGGAAGGAAGGAAGGAAGGAAGGAAGGAAGGAAGGAAGGAAGGAAGGAAGGAAGGAAGGAAGGAAGGAAGGAAGGAAGGAAGGAAGGAAGGAAGGAAGGGAAAAAAGGCAATTGTGTGTCACCAAGGCAATGGCTTCTGATGTCTCAAAAGATAAGGAGTAGGGGCTGGAAAGGTGGCTCAGTGGTAGAGTGCTTGCCTTGCATGCATGAGGCCCTGGGTTCAATTCTTCAGCACCACATAAGCAGAAAAAAAATCCGGAAGTGGTGCTGTGGCTCAAGTGGGGTAGAGTGCTAGCCTTGAGCTGAATTGCTGAGGGACAGCACCCAGGCCCAGAGTTCAGGCCCCACAACCAGACCCAAAAAAAAAAAAAAAAGATAAGGAGTAATTCCCTTTATCAAGATATAGAGTAGATGTAAGCAAGGGTTGGGGACTACAGGTATCAGAATAGATGTGGCAAGATACAATATTGAGGACCTCAGGAATCAATCAACAGACATTCAGCTCAGGTAGGCCCAAACATGGGTACTGGAGAATAAAGCCAAATTTTAAGTCAGTAAGAGAGCTGGAAGTAAGGAGAGAGGAATCTTTTCTCACTTTCCTAGTTTCTAGTGAGGGGAGAAGGGTGATTTGAACATAGGGCCATTAGGCACATTAGAGGTTCCCTGCTACACACCCGATCCTAGAGTTTCTAGGCTGAGGCTCCTCTTTCAAAATATAACAATCAGCTGCTGGTGGCTCATACCTGTAATCCTTGCTACTCAGGAAACTGAGATCTGAAGATCATGGTTCAAAGCCAGCCCAGGCAGGAAAGTCCATGAGACCACCAAAAAAAGCAGAAGAAGAGCCGTGATTCAAAATGAGAGGATGCTAGCCTTAAGCAAAAACAAAAACAAAAAAAGCACAAAAAAAAACAAAAAATAGCTCCAGGACAGCACCCAGACCCTGAATACAAGCCCCATGATTGACCAAACAAAAAAAAAAAAATCTTATAATTTGTGGGCAGGGGTGGGAATGTGAAACTGGGAAAAAGCAAAGAAAGAGGTAACATTGTCCAAAAGAGACATGTACACATTACCTGAATTGTGAAATGGAAAGGTCTGTGAACACCACCTTAATAATAACAATTAGATTGTATTTTTTTAAGTTTTTATATTGCTGAACACCAGTGGTTCATGCCTATAATTCTAGCTACTCAAGAGACCGAGATGCAGAAGAATATAGTTCAAAGCCAGTCTGGGATGAAAATGCTGTGAGAATCTGCCTCCAAAATAGCCAGCAAAAAACCAGGTTGAAAGCCTGACTCAAACAATACAGAGCACAAGCCAAGCTAGCAAACATGAGTCTCTGAGTTAAAACCCAAGTACTACTGGGGATTAATAAATAAGTAAATAAATAAGTTCCTGTTAGGAACTTAATGGTTCAAAAAAAATCTATCACATCCAGAACACTGGAAAAGATAAGTTAGTTGATACATATTAGGAGCCTAGGCATTCATAGAACAGTAGGGTTCCAGACCACATGCATGAGTGTCATTTAGATTACTCCTTTTAAGAAAGTCTACCAATTTATAGAAGCACCTTTTTATACTCCAGCCATCCAGCGGTCTCTTTCCTGTGGTGTGGTTCCTAGAGCCACACGCAGGTTCTATGGCTTCAAGCCAGCCTAAAAGATGGATAACAGCAGTTACTTAGCAAAGCCAGCTGACATCATCTTCAAGAACTGGGCTCAAGTTAGAAACTGGGGATTCTACTCTCTACTTCATCACACTCTGGGCAGCTGGGTTTAGCCTTCCTCCCTCTCTAGGCTTCTAGTCTCCCATGTACAAAGCAAATAATTTTGGCAAGATCAGTGGATCTCAAACCTGAACAACTATCAAAATCACCCATGAACTTTAAAAAATGGGTATTTAAGCTAAGCTTGGTGATTCACAAAATTCCAGTTCATCAGGAGGCAGAGACTGGAAGGATCATGGATCAAGGCATCTGGAGAAAAAGTTAACTAGACCATATCTTAACCGACAAGTTAGATATAATGTTACATGTCTGTGGTCTCAGCTACTGGATAGTATAAGTAGGAGGATCAGGATCCAAGGCTGGTCCCAGGCAAAGACATAAGACCCTATCTGAAAAAAACAACTAAAGCAAAAAGAACTAGAAGCATGAGTCAAGCATGGCAAGCACAAGATTGAGTTCAAGCGCCAGTACCCTTCAGGTTCAACCTCCAGCCTGTGACTGAATTAGAGTTTTTAGAATGAAGTAGGCATGTGCACACGTACACACACACACACACACACACACACACACACACACACGCACACACACACACACACACACACATGATTCTGAAAATAAAACAGTATCTAGAAACTATAAAACATCTCAAGGCTCTTCCAGATTCTCTAGAATTTAGAAGTCATGCCTAGGGATTTAGTCATGCAGGTTCCATTTGCTTTCAATTAATGTTTTAATTCATTCAATTAATTTTTAATTAATTCAATTAATTTCAATTAATGTATAGGGAGGAAAAAAAGAATGAAATACCATGCAGTTTGGGACTCTGAGAAGGCAATTCCCCAGACAACCAAAAGGAATCCAGGAGACAAGAGGGAAGGAATATGACTTGTCTTATATATCTGCCTTGATTGATGTCAAGTCTGGGATTTTGTAACCAACAATAATAGCTCTCTCCTCCAGAATAACAACGAGAGATCGGTTCAATGGAGCAGAATCGTTCATCCGGCAACCTTGGGTCAACTCACAGCAGTATTTGTCTACCTCAGTTTCCAAACTGATGTTACAATTGCAATTACTTCTCCAGGCAGCAGCTCTGGTCCACATCTATCTGGATGGCTCTGTCTTGCTGACTCATGGCGGCTGTGAACTGGGACAAGGCCTGCACACCAAAATGATTCAGGTGAGACAAGTGTCTGTGCCACCACTGTGGCAGTCAGTGAGCCAGCTGTTTTCTTGCTGCGCAGGAGAAATGCCATCACACTAAATGCACAAGTCAATTGGTAGACTCATCCTGGCTTTCAGGAATGCAAAAATGCAGGGAACGGGTGAGGAAAGTGAGGTGTTAGAATTCAGGAAATATGCTATATTGTTTCTTCTGCTTATGAAAGACCCAAGCCCCTAAGTCTGCTGAAAAACATGATTCCAGTTTTCAAAGATAAAATATTTATCTTAAAGCAATAATGTGGACATTCAAGTCCTCAATTAGAAATAAATGTGTCTGGGGCTGGGCTCAGTGGTAGAGTGCTTGCCTTGCATGCATGAGGCCCTGGGCTCAATTCCTCAGCACCACATAAGCAGAAAAAGGCAGAATGGCGCTGTGGCTCAAGTGGTAGAGCCCTATCCTTGAGTTGAAGAGCTGAGGGACAGCGCCCAGGCTCAGAGTTCAGGCCCAATGACCAACAAAAAAAAAAAAAAGAAAGGAAGGAAGGAAGGAAGGATGGATGGATGTCGGGCTAGACACAGTGAGTTTGTACCTGTAATCCTAGCCACTTTAGGAGACAGAAACAGTAGGATTACAGTCCAAGGCCAGCTCCGGAAGCTGGTTAATGAAATCCTATCTCAAAGAACAAGCAAGCTACGAGAAGTGGCTCATGACTATAATCCCTACTACTCAGAGAGTAGAAGTTTGAAACCTGAGCAAAGACACAGGATCCTATATGAAAAAAAAATTTTTAAAAAACTAAGCAAAACGGGGCCAAGAGTGGGGCCCAAGTACAAGCACCAAACCCAGTATCCAAACCCCTAGTACTACCCTACCACCCCCCAAAAAAGGAAACAAAAAGAAATGGATATGTGTAATAGGATGAAAAGATAAGCTCTCAAACTTAATAATCTGCTTAAGAATTCATCAACAGGACTGGCCATTATGTGTGTTCAAAAAAAGAAGTATGCCACTAATTGTGCTAAAATAGCAAAAGGTTAGTGCAGTACAAAATCTCCCTTCTTTTAATATGAAATAAGAATTTGTGTAAGATGATGCTGAGTAAAAATTGTGTAGGAAAGAAAAGCCTCTCTCTTAGTGAGAGACAGAACATCATTTCACAGGATTCTTGGAACTTGAAAGCCACAAAATGCTATAGAGAAGCTGGGTGCCAGCTGCTCAAGCCTATAGTCCAGGCTACTCGGGAGACTGAGATCTGAGGAACACAGTTTGAAGCTGACAAGTCCATGAGAATCTAATCTCCATGTAAGCAGCAAAAAACAGGAAGTAAAGGTGTGGCTCAAATGATAAAGCCCAATCCTTAAGCAGAAAAGTCACACAAGAGCAAGAGGCCCTAGGTTCAATCCCCAGTACCAACACACACAAAAGGCCACACCACCTCCACTTGGGGACTACTTTGCACATTATGACCATGCCTCCATACCTGTACACTTTCCCATGATGGACACATCTGTTCAGTTGTCTGCATTTAGAGCCCAGCTGCAGTGTTTGCCTGTAGCAGCGACGCCAGGCTGCCTACTCGGTTCTAAAAGGACTGGAAAGACCGTCCATGTAGAAAGGAGTTTAAAGTCACTGACGTGAATATGGTTTCTTCCTTGGCCTCGGCAGGTGGCGAGTCGAGAACTGAACATCCCCTCCTCGTACATACACCTATCAGAAACAAACACCACCACGGTGCCCAACGCGCTCTTCACAGCGGGCTCCATGGGGACCGACGTCAATGGGCGAGCCGTGCAGGTCACCTTCCTTCCGTTTTCAGTCACCCAAAGACCAGGACTGAAAGGGGTTGGGGGGGGGAAGAGGGGGCCTTATCCCACCCTTTTCTCTTCTATGGAAGATGAAACGGAGACCAGGAGAGATCAAGTTCTAGGTCCCTTGCGAATTGCTGGTAAAGCCCAGATGCCAGGCCAGCTTTCCTGAAACTCTACTTGGTGCTTCGGCTGCACGGGGCTGTGGGTAATCCACGCTGTCATTAAAAACTTGCTTCCCTCAGCCCCCCACCCCACGCCCTGTCCTGGGTAAGAGATGCAGGGAGGTCCCATTCAGGCTCCACCAGGAAGCTGAGCCAGGCAACTTACCTCTCTGGAAATCCAGTTGTCCTTCCCGAAAAACTAGGAGTCGACCCAGCAATAAAAGGGCAAAGGAGACTGTTTCATAGGATGATTTTTTTTTAGGCCAGTCCTGGGGCTTGAACTCAGAGCCTGGGTACTGTCCCTGAACTTCTTTATGCTCAAGGCTAGTGCTCTACCACTTGAGTCACAACTCCACTTCTGGCTTTTTCTGAGTTTATTGGAGATAAGAGTCTTACTGTGTGGACTTTCCTGCCCAGGCTGGCTTCTAATGGTGATTCTCAGATCACCATTAGATCGAATTACAGGCATGAGCACCAGCACCTGGCCCATAGGATGATTTTATTCCTAATAGTGGGATATGTTTAATTGGCTTCTCAATGTCCATCAATTACCCTTATTCACATCCTATTGTTCTTCAGTAATTAAGCTTCCAAAATGTACTTCAAACTGCAATGTCTTCAGGGGCTGGGAAGGTGGCTCAGTGGTAGAGCGCTTGCCTTGCATGCATGAGGCCCTGAATTCGATTCCTCAGCACCACATAAGCAAAAAGAAAAAAGCCAGAAGTGGCACTGTGGCTCAAGTGGTAGAGTGCTAGCCTTGAGCTGAAGAGCTGAGGGACAGTACCCAGGCCCAGAGTTCAGGCCCCACGACTGGACCCAAACTGCAATGTCTTCAACTTCCCAGTTCTGGCCAGTAGCAAGAGGATAGAGGGGCTTTCCCCCATTCCCTCTGTACCTTCTCCCTCAGCCCCAACTTTATAGCTGGCAGTTCAGTCCCCTGCAGAACCAGAGAATGGGAGCCCCACAGGGAAGAGCCAGCCATGTGATTTGGCTGGTATTTGATGTTGTTTCTAACCCGTTCCCCATGGCTGCGCTAATGCATGCCCTAGAGACAGACTCTGGGCAGCTCTGATATAGGCAGCGGCTCTCTTGTGGCTGTAGCCTTTGTGGCCTGTCCCAGCCCCAGCCTAGCCCCAGGCCACCTCCAGTCACTTTCTTCTGAGGCACCTCACACCTTGCAAGAAGCTCTGACCAGCAGAGTCCTCTGAGGGCTACAGGAGCTGGATGGGGAGGGGATTGCTAGTAGAGATTTATTATTTAATGGTTATAGATTTTTCTAGTTGGGGTAATGAAAACAGCACCATCTCTCAATTAAATTAATGTTGTCGTTCTGGATTTTATTGGGCTATACATTGGTGTGCACCGTCTGTCATTTTGGTTTTTATAGTTGCAAAAGAGCTGCTATAACTCTAAGGAGACTCTACTTAGCTTTAGTAGCATATATTTAAAAACAGTGTAATAAAAAGAACAGGAAGTCAAAGCTGCAGAATCTACAGGAAGGCAGTGAGTTTTCCTCTGAAAAGAGTCCATACATGCCTCAAGTTTAAGAAATCCCACGGACGTCTACAAAAATGATAGTTAACATTTTGCTGTCCCTTGTATGTATGTTTTTGATGTCACTTCAAATATTTATTTTTAGAATGCCTGTCAGATACTTAAGGAACGTCTTCAGCCCATCATCAGGAAAAATCCGAAAGGAAAATGGGAAGAATGGGTGAGTCTTTCTTATTGCCCCAGCCAGGAAGAACAGAGCTGGCTGTGTAGCTTGAACATAAAAATGACTGTCTGGCAAACAAAAGGCCCTGAGTTCAAATTTCTGTTCCACTAAAGAAGGAAGGAGAGAGAGAAAGAGGCAATGGGGAGGGGGCAGAGGAAGGATTAAAAGAGGGGGGAAGGAAATGGATGGTGAAGGGAAGGTAAAGGATAAGCCAAAGGGAGGAGAGAGGAGGAGAGAGGAAAGGAGGAGAGGAAGGAAGACTGTCTGGTGGGCAGTGTCCATTCCAGAATGCTCATGTAGGCCGGGCGCTGGTGGCTCACGCCTATAATCCTAGCAACTCAGGAGGCTGAAGTCTGAGGATCGCAGTTCAAAGCCAGCCCAGGCAGGAAAGATAGTGAGATGCCTATCTCCAATAAACCACTAGAAAACTGGAAGTGGCGCTGTAGCTCAAGTGGCAGAGCGCTTGCCTTGAGCTGAAGAGCTGAGGGACAGCGCCCAGGCCCAGAGTTCAAACCCCATGACCAACAAAAAAAAAAAAAAATGCTCATGTATTAGTAGTTACCTATAATTTTCCCAGAAGAGTAAAAGAGATATCTATGTTCATTGATATCTGACTTATTTCAGAGCTTGAGTTCGTGGAACTAGAGAACAGTGTTCTTACAACATGCCCACCTAGGGCTGCTTCCCTGTACTTGCTGTAGGACAAGAACCTCAGGTTCTGTATTCTTCTAGGTGCAATGGAGGTAATAGCTGTCCTAAGCTCACAGGATTACTTTACTATGATTATATGTTTGTATTTTATATAATTGTATATATAAAATATATCATATATGTACAATTTCTATATAAATATATAATTACATTTATTTATAAGAGCATATATTATACATTACTGTTATTATATTTACTGTAATTATTATTATTCCCCTTCTCAGCATGATCCACAGTTAAGCAGCAGCTAAGATGAGTGGAAACTTAAGCAGGGTGAAAATACACACATACCTGAATATATCTCACCCCATCCCTAATTTAAAAGCACCACAATGTGAGAAAGTAAACATTGTACACTGTGCAACTCAATCCATACAGTCTAGAGAAAGCCTGCAGCTACCCTGAAAACCCTCCTTGCAAAACAGGTCCTATAGCTTGGAGACAGGCTACAGAACTGGGTGTGAGCAAGAAGCAAGCCCAGCATGGAAGGCATTTTTTCTATTGCTTTAGCTGAACTTCTGCGTCTTCATAACTAATCATCTCTTTCAGATTGCAAAAGCCTTTGAAGAATCCATCAGCCTCTCAGCTACTGGATATTTCAAGTAAGGACTGTTTTTCCTTAGGCTGATATGATAGTTGGTCAAGGGTGATCATTGGGTCCGTTGGAGTGTGAGAGGAAATGAGGAAGGAAGACTCGGGGCAGAGGAATGATCCAGAGCCTTCTGGAGAAGCAGCCATTTTATCAGCCAAAAAAAAAAAAAAATGATAGCTACCTACACCCCTCCCCATCCCAGCGCCTGCCCACTGCGGGCTCCCTAGCTCTAACTTCTCCTGACCCTGCTGTGGTCCTCCTGTATCTCTGGTCCCAAAATCCCTCCAAGGAAAAGGGGAGCAGGCCTCCAACCACAGGTGGGATGCTGCTGCAGCTCTTCTCTAGGACTCCACACATAGGTGAGAAGACCACCAGGGGCCGTAATGTCTTTCTCTCTACTGCTGACTTCGCTTCTCAGGGGCTACCAGACATACATGGACTGGGAGAAGGAGGAAGGCAACGCATACCCCTATTTCGTTTATGGAGCCTCCTGTTCGGAGGTAGAGGTGGACTGTCTGACTGGGGCTCATAAGGTAGAGTGACATTTGTACATACCACCTTCACCAGGTCCACACAAACATGGATGTAAAGAATAATGAACTTGGTCTTCCCTTTGAAAGAACCGGGGGGAGGGGGGGGAAGGTATATAATTTTAGAAAAATCTATTTTAAATAAATAGAATTGTCCATTATATGATGTGGGGTTTTTTTTTTTGCTTTGGTGCAGCACCTCAGGACTGACATCTTCATGGATGCTGCTTTCAGCATAAACCCAGCTCTGGACATTGGACAGGTGCGTAATTCCAGAATATTCCCATGGGGATTCTGGCCAATCCCATTTCTCAACTAGTCTTTCCAAATGTTATTCACCAGCATGCTCCAAATCTTATCCATGCTTCATGCAAAGCACTCTACATAGACTGTGGATATTATGTATGTATATACATGTGCATAATATGTACATACATGCAGATTATGCATGCACAGATCTACATACATGGATGCACACAGATAAACTACTGAAAGAAAATTTAGGGGCATATATGACTTATTCTACAGTCTCTGTGCCTCCTAATACTTCTTCAGTAAATGTTCTGGTCATAATTAGGATATGAGAGGGGGTTTCAACAAGGAAAATACCTTCCAAGGGCCCCCATATGGGATGTGAGTTCCAGGCAATTGAGAACATCCAAAAGGCTTCAGAGAAGTGGTCATTCTTTATCTGAAGCCAGGTGACCAAACTGAGGTGGCCAAGGGTGAAAAGAATCAGGTGAGGAGACTTGGAGGTGAGGAAGAAGCTGGTGGGTTCCGAAATTTGACTTAACATGCATCAGGAATGTGAGGTGCCTATAGAATAGGCCCAGATGTGGGAGCAGGCACCAGTTCCTAGAAGACTCTTAGTAGCATCCATTGTAATGACTTCAAGAAGGACTTCCATTCACACTAGAAAATTTATTCAAACAGAATCATCCATTTCTTGCCTGTGCTATTTTTTTTCCCGGTCACGGGGCCTGAACTCTGGGCCTGGACACTGTCCCTCAGCTCTTCAGCTCAAGGCTAGCACTCTACCACTTGAGCCACAGCACCACTTCTGGCTTTTTCTGCTTATGTGGTGCTGAGGAATCAAACCCAGGGCTTCATGCATGCAAGGCAAGTACTCTACCACTGAGCCGCCTTCCCAGCCCCTGTGCTATTTTTTTTTTGGACCATAGATTGAGGGAGCATTTATCCAAGGCATGGGATTTTATACCATAGAAGAACTGAAATACTCCCCGGAAGGTGTACTTTACTCTCGGGGTCCAGATGACTACAAAATCCCCACCGTCACTGAGATACCAGAAGAATTGTATGTCACTTTGGTGCATTCAAGAAATCCCATAGCCATCTACTCATCCAAGGTAAGAGTGCAGAGTCTCTGTATTAGTCTGCTTGAGATGCTGTAAAAGACACCAAAGGCTGGGTAGAGCTTTATTTTCTCATAGTTCTGGTTTCTGAAAGTCTGAGATGGAGATGTTGGCAGAATTAGTTTTATACTCTCGCCTTGGCTCTTGGACATTTTCTCCCTGTTCCTTCACTGAATCTTCCCATTCCATTCTCTTTCTCCATGGCACTTTGCTATTAGATGTCCACTCTGGTCCTCCTGAAGCACATGGCATGTAACTGTCCTACTACACATGGGGTTCTCAAATACAAAACAAACAAGCCACAACGACCCCTACTTAAGTTTAATTCCAAGCCCATACTTGTCCAGACCCATTTTAGTTCAGAACTTGGGAGCTTCCCTGTCTTTCCTGGGAGTGGGTCATGGATGCCTCCACCTCTGACCAGACTTCAGAATCTCTAGCAGCCAACCCAACACAGGACCCAATCCTGCCACTTAAGGTCTAGCTGCTCCCCATGCTTAAGCCCAATAGGACTCAGGCCCTTTCTCCTTACCCCAGAGGAGCCCTGTCTCCTCTCTGGCTTCTTCAAAGCTTGGGAGCTGGTTTGTCTGCTTCAGGCCTTGTCTCATCAAGGCCCCCCGAGATGACCTTGAGGGAAGAAAGGAGAAATATCACTGCAGTGATTGGTGAATTATTCAGAATATAATGTCAACCTCCACTCACATGCTTCCAAACCAGGAACAAGGGAGCACTGGGGAAAAGAGCAACTGTTTCACTGTCCTTCAGCCCCACTGCCAACATAGTGGTCATCCTTCTTATTGTGAATTCTAAACAAATGGTCTGGCAGCTAAAGATGTCACTCAGCAGGAGAGCACTTGTCTAGCAAGTATGAGGCTCTGGGGTTCATGCCCAGAACCTTAGAACAAGAACACACACAGAAAAAAAAACAAAGGGCCTTCCCAGTACTGGTGCTCATGTCTGTAATCCTAGTTACTTAGAAGACTGAGATCTGAGGATCAAAGTTCAAAGCCAGCCCAGATAGACAAATCTGAGAAATGCTTATCTCCAATTAGATTGCCAGCCTTGACCAAAAAAGCCAAGCAAGAACATGAGGCCCTGAGTTCAAGCCCCAGTACAAGCACACATGCACACACTCACACACACACACACACACATACACACACACACACACACTCACACACACACACACACACACACACCCCAAAAGGCTGGATTCAGGCTTGGGGTATCCTGTAGCACTTTCATGAGTTAATCTCATTTAGGAAGACACTACACACAAATTACTCTGAGCAGATTCTACTCTGCTAATGCAGATACTCCCCATTCTAGAGATGATAAAGATGTAGGGATGTGTGTCTCCGTGTGTGCATGTGTGTATATGTGTATATGTATGTGTAAGTTAATTCTAAAAGGATCTTGCCTTACTGACCATGTTTTATGCTTCTCTCAGGGACTGGGTGAGGCTGGAATGTTCTTAGGGTCCTCTGTATTGTTTGCCATATATGATGCAGTGACCGCTGCCCGCAGAGAGAGAGGCCTGGACAAGACCTTTCCACTGAGCAGCCCAACAACCCCTGAACTGATCCGCATGGCTTGTGTGGATCAGTTTACTAACATGGTAAGGGAAGTCCCTTATATGGACTTGAAGGTTCTTGGTGTAGATGCAAACCATGACATAATTAATATTAATATTTGCCAATGAAAATTCTCATTTGCCTCCACTTACCACTTCCTGTATGCCTCAAAGTAGATGCCAAGTAAATAAGCCTCTTCTGATGCTGTTTGGTTTTAGACCTTTCCCCTTAAAGATTGAGACCAGATACACTGGGTAGCTACTTGGTAGGCAGAGATCAGGCAGATCTCAGTTCAAGGCCAGACTACAAAAAAGTTAGCAAGACCAAACATGGTACTAGTGCCTATAATCCCAGCATAGGTAGGAAGATTGTGGTCTGAGGCCAGTCCAGACCTTTCTGAAAATTCAGATTCTATATGAAAAACAACAAAAAGAGAGGGAGTAGGGAAAGGAGGAAAAGAATAGAAATGTAGCTCGAGTGCTAGAATGTTTAACTAAAAAAAAAAATCTGACCTGTCAAATTATGCAGAAATATTTGCTAAACAAACTAGTAAAAATCATTTCAAAGACTGTATCTGTTTTCTGGGCACACTCTGATATGACTTATAACAACACACTAATGGAATATAGTTCCAGTTGCCAATGTTGAAAATACATCTATGAATATCATCAGAAAACATGCCTCTACTAAAATGCTTACTGCAGCCATAAATGAGTGTTGGGTATAAAATTAGATTTGCCTTGAAAACTACAGAGTTTCTAAGTAAGATGCATCTTTTCCCAAGAATACATTTATCAGATGTGGTGGAGGGTGTGGCTTCCTATTAGAAAGAGTTCATGCAACCTATTAGAAAGGCCCTGGGTTCAATTCCTGTCATCAAAACAGAACCAAACAGGAGCCACTTATGGTAGGACATGCCTGATATCCCAACACTTGCAAGACTGAAGTGGAAGAATTACCAATTTGAGGCCATTCTGGGATATATAGCAATACCCTGCCTCAAAAAACAAAAGTGTGTTTTGTGTGTGTGTGTGTGTATGTGTGTGTGTGTGTGTGTGTGTGTGTGTGTGTGTGAAGATACTTATGCAAATAAAGAAGTTTCTGACTGAGACAAATATGAAAATCATATGATTTTGATAAAAAATGTACATCTTTAAAAAGGATTGATGGCATTTTTCATATAGTACACTTCATTAACCATTCTCTTCCCTCTTTTGATCTCTCCTTAGATTCCCAGAGATGACCCTTCAACATTTACGCCTTGGTCCATCAATGTGTCTTAGTCCTATGTTTTTTAGAAAATGAAAGAACATAAGGCTAACCTTAAAAATCTCAAACCAGACCATATATACGTTAGCCCTCAATTATCAGTGATCGCTACATCATTTCTTTATTGTCTGTGGCTTGGGTAACTGCATAACTATATTTTAGGATGCAAATTTTCAACAAACAGTGTAATTTTAGTTTGCCTAAAATCAACAGCCTCATGATTTTTTTTAATGGTAGTTTCCAGCAATCTGAAAGGAGTCAAGAGCCTACTTGTACTTTGTTCTCCAGAGATTTGCTCAAAGTTCAGTGTCATTGTCCACTCTCCAAAGTCTCCAGATTCATTCTCTCGAAGCCCACAATAATGCTTACAATGATTGACTTGCCTGGAAAAATCCCTGATGGACCATGCTTGCCATTTCTCAGGGTGTAAATGTTCCCATGCTGGCAGATTCCAAGCCATTACTTTGAGGATGCCGAATGTGGAGTTAGGAAGGGATGCTTACAGTCTGCTCTTGTAAGAGATGTCTCCAGCACAGCCATCCACCAGATCCCTGACACACCTGGCCTAGCAGTTCATTAAGAAAGGGTTTAGGAAGTGAGCATCTAATACGGTTCTGGTAGGGTGTGTTCTCAAAGGGGCATATGCTGGAGGCTGGGTCTCTAGTCTGTCAGAGGTAGGATCTAGTGAAGTAACTGAGTTGTGATCACTCTTGTCAAGGGATTGATGCTGGTCTCAAAGTGGATTTGGTTTTACAGGAATGACCTAGTTCTACCAAGAGCTGCTTGTTACAAAAGAGTGAGCCAGGTTCCTACTCTTCTTTCTGTCTCTTTCACACACTCTCAGTATGTGATACATTAAAAATAAGCTTTTTTTCTCTTTGAAGTTCATAGGCGGGGTGGGAAGTAAGGGAAGATGGAGAAAAATGAGGGAGGGAGTAACAAGAAAGAAATGTAATCACTACCCTACTTATGTAACTGTAACTCCTCTGTACATCACCTTGGCAATAAAATTTAAATTAAAATTACAAAAAATAAAGTTCCCAGCCTCATGTTTATTCTTATTGCAACTCAAAAAGGACAGACATTGTTCAAAGCTTCCAAACACTTCCAAAACCCTGCTTGTTCTCTTTGATATAGAAATATCTGTTCTTAGGAATAGCTGTTGAGTTTTTCAAATACTTTAACAACATCTGTATATTTTACTAGTTTGTTTGTTTGCTTGTTTATTGTGTCTGTCCTGGGGCTTGAATGAGTGCTGTCCCTGAGCTTTGGTGCTCAAAGCTAGTGCTCTACCATTTGAACAACAGTTCTACTTGGTAACTAGTTAGAGATTAGAGTCTTACAGACTTTCCTGCCTAGGTTGGCTTCAAACTGTGATCCTCATATCTCAGTCTCCTGAGTAGCTAGGATTATAGATGTGAGCTACCAAAAACTCAGTTCAAATGCTTTTCTTAGAAGTAGCATGAATTTAGATTTAGCTTGTTTTGTTCTAATGCAAGTCTGGTAATCACTATTTTTAAGTGACAGAATTAATCAATCACATTTCCTACAATAATTAAATTTTTCAGTTTTTTCTTCATATGTATTATATTTATTTTATATGCATCCATGTATAATTTAAATAAGGTATCACATACATAATCTACTGTCTTTTTTTATTAGTCATAGGGATTGAACACATGGGGCTTGAGCTCCTTTTGTTCAAGGTGCTTAGCCTTCTTCCACTTTGAGCCACAGAGCTACTTCCAGATTTCTGGTGGTTAAAGAGTCTCACAGACTTTCTTACCCAGGGTTGGCTTTGAACAGCCTCCTGAGTAGCTAAGATTATAGATGTGAGCCACCAGCACCCACCCTTTTTTGTTTTGCTGTTCTGTTCAAGCTATAACTAATTCCATTTCTTCTCTTTAATTTGCAGGTCCAGCCATAGCATTAGTTAGTCTCCACTTACCTACAAAACACTATTTTACACTTACCTACAAAACACTGCATTTCTAATATTTTTTTGGGGGGGTCCGGTCGTGGGGCCTGAACTCTGGGCCTGGGTGCTGTCCCTCAGCTCTTCAGCTCAAGGCTAGCGCTCTAGCACTTGAGCCACAGTGCCACTTCCGGGTTTTTTCTTTTTGCTTATGTGGTGCTGAGGAATCGAACCCAGGGCCTCAGGCATGCAAAGCAAGCACTCTACCACTGAGCCACCTTCCCAGCCCCTACATTTCTAATATTTAAAAACACTAATATTTAAAAACAACACACCAACTATTTTCCTCACAGAAAAAAAAAAGTTTACTCTTTCCTGGCCTCCTGTTCTATCTATTCCCATATTTCCACCCCTGCCTCCAATAAGATAATATTTTAGAAGCCCTTTTACTTTTCTCCCTTCCCTGCAGCAGCTCCCAGTCTTTAAGGCCTACTGTCCTCTTCACCTTTCTTACCTGAGTTGCTTTTTGTTGGGAAAGTATTACTCAGATAGAGTGTTCATCTTCCTCTGGATTTCCAGTTGCTCTCCTGCCTGTCAACACTCACTGATGCTGCCCCCTAATGTTCACTACATGGCCAAGCCGATTCCGTTTCTAGAAAAAGTCTTTCTGCCTGGCACCTCATGACCTAAGTCCATTTGAACTTGGAGTTCACACGTGGCATTAGTTGACACCAGGTAGGAGTCCCATGCCTTCAAGCCAGCCTGGAAATTGACTAACATGCTAGTCTCTAGACTAAGAAAAAATTTCTCAGCATTTATTAATTGTTTCTCTTTATCCAGGCCTTCTTTTTATTGTCTTTATTGTAAAAATAGTGTACAGAGGGGTTACAGTTACATGAGTAAGGTAATGAGTATATGTCCTATAGAGCATTGTTACTTCCTTTGTTTTTCCCCTACCATCCCTTCCCTCCCCACCTCCCCAACTCCTCCCTCCCTACCCCCCACCACAAGTTGCAAAGTTCATTTTCAACATAGTGTCTTGTACATCTCATGGTTACAATGAGTCAACCAGTATCCCTATTTAAGGGTTTTGTTTTTTCCCCTTCCCCTCCCCAAATTAGAAAAGTGTATGAATCAAATACAATGAAAACAGGGCTTATACCATGGAAAACAGGCTTTCTTTCTTTAGTCCTGCAAGAGATGTATTACATTTAGCTTCCTGGACTCTGATCCTGCCTTTCATGGTTTCTACCCCTATGTGTCACTACTCTGTGCAGAGATAGATTTACTTCACTCAGTTTTCCAGATCATTCTTTTGGGTTTCCACCATAACAGTCCTCTACTGAATTGCTCTGTAGATGATCTAGAAAGTGGTGTTAAGGGCTCCTGCTTAATTCTCTCTTTTTATATTTAAATTGGCAGTTGTCCCTTCCAGAAACTCTCTTTTGCTGGGAGTGTGTTGTGTCTACTTACATGATTTCCCTGGCTCTTAGATCTGCCTCAATTTCCCTGGGATGCTCTCACAAAGCCCCATACACTGAATGGCTTAAAACAATAGAAACTGGTTCTCTAACAGTTATGAGATGTCAGCAGGACATGCTTCCTCTAATCTTCATTCCCTCCAGTTTCTTAGTGTGTAATCACTGCCAGCAATTCTTCGCATCACTCCACTCTCCTCCACCTTCACACGATCCTCCCTTCATGTGTATCTGTCTGTCTCCAAACCCTCCTCTCTTTATATGACACCAGCCATTGGATTTAGGGGCCAACCTAACCTTAGAAATGTTGTCTTAACTTGGCTTTGTCTACAAAGATCCAATTCCCAAATGAGATCATATTGGGAACACAGCTCAACCCACAACCCCTTTAATATTTTTTCTCATCCATCAATTCCCTGGGCTGTATGCTGAAATAGCCTACCAGGTACCCACCACAGGTGCACAAAGCAAAGGGATCCTAATCCATCCCACACCCTGACGGGGTAGAAGCTGGAAGGCTGTCTGGGTCCTGCAGAGGCAGGAGGCCTGGTAGTTCTGACTTTTCACGTTGACCTAGACTTGGGGTGGAGAAGAGTTCACCAGCCCTCTGACACAACTAACCTCCTACACACGCAATTCTAAGGTGTTTTTTTCCTCACACTCACTCCCACTCAAGGACCAAGCTCATCTCCAGATCCAGAATTTCAGGGTGCTGATCTCTAGACACTACCCCCAGCCTATGGGAGAAGAGGACCCTCTCCTGCAAAACTCACAGTACTGCTAATACCCCACTTCCCACAAGTCCATCTGGCTCAGTAGAGGCAAAAGTTGGAGCTAAGATAGGGAAAGGACCTCATAGTTAAAAAGCCTAGGAACAAAAGATCTGTGCTATGAATGTGAATGATTTATCCAGGCTCTCCTGGGATGCCCCCTTTCAATCTGCCTACCTGTGTTCCATCTCTGGATGTTTCTAGTTTTGCTGTTGTTCTTTCTTGTAGTATTAGAGTTTGAACTCAGGACCTTGCTAGACCATGTCTGGATTTTAAAGAGCTCAAAACACAGCTGCAACCCCAGGGATACCAAAGCCAGCTCCTCAGGGAGCATGATGTGTTACCTTTTTTGTTTCTTTTCCTGTAAAACATTTGGTTTAAATTTAGGCAGGGGAGCGGTGTTAATGTGATGTCCAATATTCGTTCTTTCATTAGCTCACAGGATATGTTAGTAGCTTTCTGAAGCAGTGACGAAATGCTAGACAAAATCAACTTAAAGGAAGGAAGATTTGCTTTGAATCAATGTTCTGGGGGTTTCAGTCCCTGGTTATGTGGCTCTGGTGATGCAGAACATCAGATTAGAAGGAAGCCATTCTCTTCAGGACAACTGAAAGCACCACCAGCGAGTTGATTCCTCCAGCCAGGCCCCACCTATGAGTAGCCCAGTCCACTGTGACCTCATCAGTGGGCCAGCCAGCTGATGGGGTTAGCATGCTCATGACCCAGTCACCCACCAACAGCGCCACCAGCTCTGGCTCATCACACAAGCCCACAGGGGGCATTTCCTATCCAACCCAGAAAATAAGATTCTTTGATGTAAAGTCTAAGATTTTTATTTTTAATAACAGACA